CTATCTCCTTTTATTATCCTATTAATTAAAAATTTCGCTGGGAAACTACATAGAGAATTGTAAATTTTTGTGCTTTTTTTGTTTGCTTTTTCAACACATATTTAAGCTACATTTTTGGAGATTTAATTGTATTTATTTTATCTCATTTTCTTGTTTAATATCATTCTTAGAAAGATTGCAATCCCTAACCAAAGTTGAACAAATCAATTTAATGCTTGTCAACCTTTGATAAAAACAATCTCAATGAATTAATTTCACAGAAGCAAACCGTGATATTTATCTGGACATTTTCCGCATCCAGTCTATAACTGAGTAAGAACGAAAAGGGCATCTAAACAAACACTAGAAATGCCAGGAAGGACCGCCCTTTAGCTTATTTTTAGTCGCGTGGCTAGAAGTGGCCCGAGTGGCCAGCTTCAAGTGGGCAGGTGGTGTACAGGGCACCTGTCGTCGCCAATCAACCTTGACTCGGACTGGGCGTTAGAAGGCGGGAAGGGTCATGGACCTACAACCATTTCCACTGCCCTAAGAGCTCTGCAAAAGGTTGACTCTTACACCGATTACACTAATACAAAATAATAATATTAATATTAAAATTATTTAAATAATATTTTGAAAGGTTTAATAAATAATTCTTGTATACTATTTTGATAAAACCTTTAAAAAGCTTTAGGAAAATTGTATAAATTTAGAAGGTTATTAAAATATTTTAAAATTCGTATTTTCTATTTTTAGTGCAGCACTGTTGAATAGCTTTGGATGCGGTTTGCTTGGTTGGTTGGCCAGCGATTTTCCAATAAACTGAAATTGCATTTGATGATGCCAGGATATGTTTTTTCCAATCACTCCGATATTTTTTTCACCCTTTCCCCTTTTTGTTTTGCCATGATGTTTTCTTTTTCTTTTAGCATTTTATAGAAAATTGAATAAAAGTGTTGGGTGGCATTGCGACAAACTGGCGAACGAATGAGCGCGTGATTGGAAACGATTTGTAGGAATGTGAGCATACCTGGCCAACTAGGTGGTGCTTCCTGCTGCCTGCCCCATCCTTTGGTGCACCGTTCGCAGTTTAAAGGTCCTGCCAGCGAAGGAAGTGATTAGTGTAGAGCTCCACGGCTCCATGGCTTCCTTGCGTGAGCGAGTCGTCGGATCCCGAGAGCTCGGAACATAGCAAACATAGCGGTGGGGAGAAATCCAATTTGTAATAGGGAGCGAGCTGGGTCGCCTTTGATTTCATTGTTTCACCGGATTGCCTAAACACACCTACACCCCCCCTATATAGGGTCTTTTATTTACGTTTTTGTACATTTTTTTGTTTGCTTGCTGCACCAGAAACATCATCACAAAGAGTTAACAAAGTCCCCTGTCAAGATGCATTCGACCAAGATAAAAGAGGGCGATGACAGAGTGAGTTATTTTTTTTGTTTGGGAATTCATACGAATGAATTCTCCACTTTGGTATTCAGTCATATGTGCCGGCCATTAATCCCCTTTAACTAATTTGAATGCCATGCTTAGGAGGAAATGGAACTCAACCAAATCTGGCGGGGATGTCGTAAAATTCAGGGCGCCATTTTTCGTTATAACTTTGACATCTGTGCCGACTTGAAGCAGCACGATCCGGGATGCAGTGGCTTCGTTTCCGGTGAGCGCCGAATTCGCCGGACCCATTTCGTTTTTACGACTATTTTATGATTCCCCCCAGAACCCATTTTCACTGCCGTATTGGGAAAGTATCGCAAGGTGGCCGGCATGTCCGAAACTGAGCTAAGAGATGTCACCGATTACTTTCAAATTCGAGATGGCCGAGTAGCGTATCGCCAATTTTGCAAGGTCGTCTGTAGCGAAAGTGAGTTGGTTTAGTTTAAATCCTGACTCCCAAAGGGGCTCATCCTGGCCTTCTATTTCTTAGCTCTCCACAAGGTTCCCAAAAATGATTTGGCCACAGGTCTAGAGTGGAACGATCCCTGGCATGTGAATGTGATTCCTCAGCCGGAGGACCGTCGCAAACTGTGCCTGATTCTGTTAAAAGTGGCACAGGCCTCGCACATACCTCTAATGCCTTATTTTCAGGACTACGAACTAGTAAGTTTCTATTGGGTTTTATTACAAAAGGATATAGTATCCCTATCCTTATCAACTTTTACTTAGATTGCTCAAAATGTCGGGGTAGTCACTGTGTCACATTTTGCCAGGGTTCTCCACTTTATGAAGATACCTCTTTCGGAGCCGGACTTCCTGCTCCTGCTACGTCGCTACATGAAGGACGGCTACTTGGTCAACTATGTGGCCTTTCTTAAGCACATCGACAACATCATGGCTTACCTGAGTGAGCACAAACTGCTGGATAATTCACATGTAAGTTAAGATACCTCATCGCAGGATATATCAATTAATTATTAAAAAATTTATAAATAATTCCAGGACATAATCGCAAACTTCCCGGGGCGTCTGGTAGACTTGGAGATGTCCCAACTGCCGGCAGTTGATGGGTGCAAGCTGATTCATCCCATCTTCCCGGATGCCTGCAACCAACCGAAGAAGAACCGCACCCAGTGCGACATCATCTTTTGTATTCAGAACTATGTGTACAAGAACCAGGTGCGCACCTCCGAGTTCCTCGAGAGCTATGACGCCCTTCGCGTCGGCAGCATCACCAAGAACCAGTTTGAGCGCGGACTCTCCAACATGGGAGTGGGAAAGAACCTTACCCAACGGGAACTGGGCATCCTGCTGGAACGCTACACGGATCCCATGGACACCAACCGAGTGCGATGGCGCACTTTCGCGGACGAGGTCGACACAGGTATGCATCGAGTTCTAATTAAATTCCTCCTAAGATTTTCTGCTTCCAGTCTTTACCATCAAGAATCTGGACAAGATGCCGCAGTGTGTCGTGGAGTCGCCACTGCGCCACATACAGGAGATGCCACGTCCGGGGGCCATCGATTGGCAGGCTGCCCCGCAGACACTGCGGGAGTTGTGCGAGGATGCCATGGGAAAGATTCGCATCCGCATTCGCAACCGTCGTCTCTATCTGCATCCGTTCTACCGCAGCTACGACAAGTAAATACTTCTATCTATCCCATCAAGTCAGATCTCATTTTATCTTACTCCTTCCGTTAAAGATTGAACAAGGGACATGTTCGCTGCAACATTGCCAAGCAAATCTTCCGCACGAATGGTATTCTGCTGTCCGATCCGGAACAGGACGCCGTACTAAGTCGCTATGGAAACGAGCTGGGCTTCTGCTATACAAAGTTCTTGGACGATGTAGATCCGGCCGAGTACGCCATGCCCGCTATGGTAACCAAACAGGAGCTGGTGGAGTGCCCGCCCTTCGCCCGGGACAATCAGGAACCGGAGGACGCCAGTGAAGAGGTCATCGTTCGCATCCTTACCAATTGCAAGCGACAGGCTCTTGCCAAGAACGTGGCCGTCATCGAATTTATGTCCGACTACGATCGTCATCGGGAGGGAGAGATCCTTGAGTCGGACTTTAAGAGGGCTCTCGACAATTCCAGTGTCATAATCAAAGAGGAGGAAGCCACTATCCTGTGCAATATGTGAGTCTGGTGCAAGTCTGGGGATTTAAATTAATTTTTTTTCTAAAACTTCTTCCAGCTTCCGATCACCGCGTCGTAAGCCATGTGTCCGATACCGTGACTTCTGCAAGGCTCTGGACGAGATCTTCATACAACTGGACACGAACATGGGCGACCAACTGGTCACCGCTGTGCCACTGTTACATCTTCCCAACTTGGACTGTGTGGACTGTTTCCTGAGCTTCGATGAGCGGACAATCTGCTCGCAGGCTTTAATGAAGCTGGCCCGCAAGCCAGACGAGATATCCAATCTGAGCCAGGTATTCAAGGACTTTGATCGCGAACAGTGCGGTTCGATTACACAGAACCAGTTCCTGCGAGGTCTGACAGTGCGCGACATGCACGTGATGCTTAGCAGTCGCGAGTTCCAGTGCATCTGCAAGTGCTTCGGCGTGAAGAAGGGCATGTGCATGGAGTTCAACTACCGTGAATTCCTTAAAATCCTGGACGTACTCTTTACCACCGGCCAGAAGAAACAAAATTATTAGTGACGAATGCTCCCCCACCTCAAAATTCCCAGTGCATTATTATAAATGTTTTGAAATATTTTTTTTTAAATTAGTGTCGTGTGCATGCAAATAAATAACAAGGTTTGGTTTATTTTAGATTTTTTACTTTAATGTAGTTCGCATTAAAACTGACCTTTCTCTTATCGTTCAGTTAATTTTAATTGTATTTCCTTTTTCTTGAGAATGTTTTTTTTTTTTTGTTTTAATTAGGGGAAAGAAATTACATTCACACACATCTATATTAATGTGTTTTCCTTTTCCTTTGAAATGCTACCTAAACCTGACCTCCTCTTTCGTCACTTCCATCGACATCAAATCGGCTTTCCTTTAGCTTTAGTCGGACGATTTCATATATTAAATGTATACATAGATTTGATTTAACAGTTCGCATTGTTGCAAGTTCTATACAATTGTGTGGGAAAGTAGATAGGGTTCTTGCTGAGTGGCTTTAGACTTTTATTAAAATATAAATCTCTTCCCCTTAGACGACGCGTATATAAATATAGAATATATATATATATATATATATTTTGTTTGTTTTATAAATGTAGTCTATGAGCGTAAAGACATAACCGAAAACAAAAGGTTATTCTTTTCGTTTTCTGCCTTGTATTTATGGTGGATTTGTTTGTTTTGTGTGTTTGTTTTTGTTTGTTTCTTGTCGTATATTGTAGTTTTCAATTAATCAATTGATCGGGAACATGGAACCCGGTGTGTGCCAGCCAGTCAACGCCTGCTTGGTTTCTTTCTTTTATAATTATTATTACATATTACAGTTAATATATAATTAAAGTTAAACAAATACTTAAACTACATTGTATTGTGTAATGTATGAAACATTTTAGCTGTATGTGTGGTTTGTTTTGAAAGTATTCTTATTTCTTTGTTTTGTTTTTTAATGTTATGTTGTTCTTAAGTTGTTTTTTTTTTCTCTGCTTCTTTCGTATTTTCCCTGTGCTGCTGACATGTTAAACAATTACCTCGCAAAACTTATGGGACTACATTAGAAAAACAAATTAGTTTCGACACACAGACAACGTGAGCGTGGGGCATGGCATTTAGTTTGGTAAATGTTGTATGCTAACATCTAGGCAAGGTTGTCTTGGTTTTGGTGGGCGGTTGGTTGGTTGGTTGGTTGAGTAGTGGGTGGTCTGATGGGTTAATAAGCGTGTGGCTATGAAAAATTAGCCACTTGCTGAAAAATTACAAGTGTCTAGGCCTAACTAAAGGTCTGTATTTCTTAATGACGCTTCAGTTGCTTCAGTTGTTCTGCCAACTGACTCGGTTGCTGCTTCTATTTGATGATAATCCTGCTGATGCTGGTGTGTTGTTGTTGAATGCTCATCCGCCGTATGATTTGGAATGGTGCTACACACACAGAAAGTGTGTGTGTAAAAATGCGTAAAGGTAGCTGCGGTTTAAATAGTTGCTCCCAGCCAGCAGACAATCTATTTAATGCAATCATCCCGACGCTAGTCCCATCCGTTTGTTTTGGTTGTTCCTATATACAGTTTTGTATATATGCGGTTACTCCTTCGTTGTCCGTGTGCCCTTTGTGTCCGTATGTGTTTATGTCGATTTTGTAGTAATGCTGCAATGACAAAATTTATGAATACATTGTCCTCCGCAGGGGGCTGTGCTTTGTTCTTTGTTCAGTACTCACCCATAACAAACTAAACTAAGTAAAATTCAAATAGTTTGCAGTTATCCGAAGAATGCGAAATACCCAATGCCCATGCCCCCTCCCGTTTAATAGGGTTGATGCCGCTGCTGGCGTCCACCGCCGCGCTGCTTGCCACCGTTAAAGCCACCGCTGCCTATGATGGTAAAGGGAATTTAATTTATGCAAATGATTAGTTAGTTAGAGCCAATTATTTAAAAAATCATAAGCAAAGTAGGGCATGCTCAACGTCTGACGGAATAGAAGAAAAGGAGGCTAAAGATATCTGGTAGCTACTACGCCAAACGACAGGTTTTGTGTTTGCTTTGGGAAAATTTTGACCAACTCTAGAGAACAACGGCTAAATATAACAATATTTCAAAATAAATGAAAACATAAACTTTTGAATAACCAATGGAGGATATATGTATGTATAACCAAAATCGATGGATAAACCGAACACAAATTTTGTATTACAATAGAATTATCGTGGAACTAATAATAGTAAGGATAGGATGGATGCTCGGAAAATGTTTGGTAGATTATAAAATAGTTGCTTGCTTGGACGCTTTTTGGTTTTGCGTTAATTAATACCTTTCGGGCCGCCACCACGGGGTCCGCCGGCACCGCGACCACCTCCCATATTGCCACCGCCACCGCCGCCGCCGTAGCCGTTACCGTCAAATCCGCCTCCATAGCCGTAGCCGTCTGTCGGTTGCGATATTGTGGCATGTCGGGGTTACAGATCACGCGAAAAGTGTCGATGTTTGGTCGTGGTAATTGTAGTAATAATTGTTGTATAGAAGATTGATGAAAACACAAACAATGTATTGCTTATAAAATGGTGTAAAACGACTCAAATAAAATTAAAAGTTGCACAGAGCTGCTGTGTTGCCAACGAGTTAAATACTATTTTAAAGATTTCTTTTATTATTAATGAAAAAAAATCTCACACCTGTAAAAATTTAACTTTTTAAATCTTATTTTTCAATTATTTTAATGTTTTTCAATTGTTGGCAACACACTTTAGGTTGATTCTGTTTTCAATCAGCTTAATGGGATTACTTCTTAAAAATTCAATTGGTCAAAATTTTTGTTGCTTGGGCGACGCCGCGCCGAGGGGAGACAATTCAAAAGTGCACATACCGTGAGAGCTGGAAAAGGAATTATCTGCTCCAGAAGGATCAGGGACATGAATAAGGATCAGGGGGAGTTGTGGGAGTTAACTGAAATACACACTAAATTGTTGTCTGGTTTTTTCGTTTTTTTTTTTTCTTTTATTTGCTCATTTCTCGTTTGTGGATTTTGATTATAAGATTGTTGGTTAAAATATTTCTCCGTTATTGCTGTAGCTCAAAGTACATTAAGATTTTTTGCTGCATTAACATTTGGTTGTTGGATGTTGTTGTCGGTTGTCGATGGTACATAATAAAAATGTTAAAAACAATTTTTCTTTCTCCGTCTCGATCTTTATGGAGATGGGAACTGGCGCAAGGCGGCGCTCACACATACATGCGGTTCGGTTCGGTTTGTTGTTGATGTCGGTTGGTTATATATAATTAATATTATATATATTTATATATATATCTCTGTTGTTGTCTCTGATTTTGGTTAGTTGTCGACTTAACTCGACTCGACTTATTAACATGTTTCACAATGTATATTGCAATGGATTTCTCAATTCATTTCATTCGATCTCTCATTTAACAGCACTTATATTGTTTTTTTTTTTATTAATTTTACCTCATTTTCCACACAACAATTTCAGCATTTCAATTTCAAATTAGTTTTAGATTTTAATTGATTTCATTAGTTTTTGTTTGAAATTTGGAAACAAAATTTTGGTAAATAGTTTTGTTTTTTTTTTTGCCAAAAAATTTTGTTAATTCATTTGCTGCTCTTGTGTGTGTGTATTTTGAATGTCTCACCTCAGCAAAAAGTAATCAAAATTTCATATATCTTCTTTTTTTTCGTATATCCTTTCAAGGGGACCGGGGTAAGGGGGCTAAAGGGTGCGTAGTCTGTCGCGAATTATATAGTGTTTGGGCATCGTAGAAAGTTTTGCGAAAAACAAAAACAAATGCAAATAGTCAACAAATTTTTACTTTATACTTGAGTTAATAGGATTATTATAAATAATTACTCTGTGTTTCATTGTTGTTGTTGTTGTAGCTGTTGTTAAAAACAAGAAAACTGTTTGTAGCTTAAGAATTGTCTCTCAGAAATGGTTTGACAATAATAATTCATTTTAAATTACTTTAGTAGTTTTTCATATATATGTAGATATATATAAATTGTTTTTTTTTTTAATTTTTTTTGTAAAGTTTTTCAATGCATTTTACTAAAAACAAATATTAATTACGCTAAATTACTTGTAAATATATACGCTTTAAATGTAATAGAAAAAGGAAGATTTAAGTAAAAAATTAAAAACGTTACAGTTAAGTGAAAAAGGTAACAAACATTCTCGGTGTGGTATATTGCTTTGCGGATTGCCCCGATGGCTTGGTTTGGTCGGTCTCGCTTTCGTATCTTTGCGCGTTCTTTTGGATGCCGGGTCTACAGAAGATAGTAGTAGTAGTTCTTTCGGTTCAAAATATGAGGCATCGAGGACCGGTTTCCCGGCAAACATTTGGCGAGAAGCTTTGGACAAGACAAACGCGCGGCCTGCGATCGTTTTTATTAATTTTTTTGAAAATTCGCTTTTGGGTGGTTGGTGAACTCTCATTGGGGGTTTCTTTCTTTTTTTTTGTTTTGGATTCAGTTTAGTTTGCTTTTTTCGTTTTTGTGAGGCGAAACATCGGAAAAATCGGTATTACAATCATATATAATAATCGTATATAAATATGTTCAAAATCATAATTACGAAATTAAAATTACATAATTAAATGGTAAACTGTATAAACTTGAAACTGTGTGGGGAAGAGGGAACCGAAACACCCGATTCAGCTATTTACTGTCGACTGTATATAATTAATTAATTTTTTTGATTTAGATATACTTTGGTGTTAGAGTCCCAGTTCCCCGCACTTGGTTTTTTAGTTTGTGGTTAGTTGAGAAATTTTCAAGTTGTAATAGTAAACGGAATAGAAGGAAATTATAAAGAAAATTAAAAATATATTGTTAAGGTTTTAATATAAAAGTGGGCACAAAATTATTGCTATATAATTTTATGGTATATGTAGTGGTATACAAAATTTTAGTTTATATCAAAGTATGTTTACACATTAAACATCATAATAATCGGTATAATAATTAATACAAAATATAGCATAAAATGTATATTTAAAAAAAACCTTTGTGTATAAATTTTAAAATAAATGTCAATATTTTTTTTTTCTGATTTTCTTTTGATTTTTTGTTTGACTTTTTTTTTGTTTGTTTCTTTATATAGACAACTTGCTAAAAACATTGAGAAACATGCATTATTATTATTATTTAATTTACTCAAAATTTTATGAATATCAATGTAAGATAATTTACAAATGTATATACAATCAGTGTGTGTAAATCGGTTTGAAGAACTCTAGTTACTCGATTTCGAATTCAAAGTCGATGTATATATACATTTGCGAATAGCAATGCTTGGGTGTGTGATTGAATGGTAATTGGATTGCTCGACTTAAGATTAAAAACCATAAGAAAATTATATTTGTATATTTGAATTAAAATTACTAAAATTGACGAAGTGTGCTTTTATGTTTTTTTGTTGGAAAAGTTCATGTTTTTTTCTTTCTGTTCTTTGTTAGAATTAAGATGTTCTTGATGTTACTAATAGTTTTTGTCGTTGTTCAGTATATGTTTCTTGTATCTGATGTTGGTTTTTGTTTTTTTTTTTTTTTAGTTAATCCTGGAATCAACGTATGAACGTGCTGAATGCCGCAATGCCGCTCTTGCTATGACAACGAAAACAAGTCAACGGAATTCATTGTTTGGTTACATTACGTTACGTTAAAGATCTCTCAGGCGAAATACATTTTTAGTCAAGAAATTGCAGCGGAAATGCAAAAATAAAGCAAATAAAAGAACGATCTTTAAAAAGTGGCCGGACTATAGTTTTTCTTTTTTTAAATCCGGCCAAAGATCCAAAGAGCTCTGGGTCTGGTGGTCCTGACGCTCTTTTGTGTTTGTAGTTGTTTTTTACAAGGATTTGCCTTAAAATAATACTATCAAAAATAGTACCATATTTAAATGTTACGTTTTAAGTATAAATATATAACATTTGCATCATCATATATTTGATATAAATATATATTTATATATATGTATATATATGGTAGGTATATTGACGTATGGTGCATACGAAAACATATGCATTGCAAGAACGTGAATATTATCCCGTTTCCGGAATAATAAATATGTATCTAAAAATATATTTATATGCTATATATAATGTATATTTAAATAGACATTGAATCAAAGCTTTGATTACTTTCTTTTCGTGTTTTTGTTTTAGTTGTTGTTGTTGTCGTTTCTGTTCTGGTCTATATAGTTTGTGTTTAGTGTTTTGTTAAACAAAACAAAAGGAGAACTATTTTTTAAATAACTATTTTATGGGTGGTGTGTTTGGGGGGGTATAGGGATAGGTGTATGTGTGTGTGTGTTTCAACAGAATTTGGTTTCAGTTGGTTCAAACAATAACAGTTAGTTAACAATTAAAAAAAAGGCACAAGTTGCAAATTGCGCTAAAAGGCCAAAATATCCTGGCCCTTACACACAGTTTCACATAATTGGCACATGCTCCTCGTGTGTGTGTTTCTGTATTATATTCTGTATTGCTGCCCTTGCGTTTGTTTGAGGTATTTGTCATCTTTGGAAAGTCTGTTGAAGGCTACCTCCTCTCACTGATCTCGTTTGGTGATGGTGGTGGTGGTGGTGTCGGTTGTTGGTCTGGTCTGGTAGTCGGCAAACTATCTCTCTATATATCTCATTGTATGCCTCAACTTGAACGTCACGTCTACTTTTCTCTTATAGCTCCTGCTCCTCTCACTCTTTTAAACAACACATTCATTTTTAGTTACACACGCTTCGTCAGTTTTATGTTTAAATGCTACTCAACTAATAAATGATTTAATTAAATGTTTCGTTTGAAATGAATTCTCGTTTAAAAATTACGCTTTAAAATTTTTTAAAACATCAAGTGTATATGCCTTTAAATTATAAGTAGTTATATATATATATGTAGATAGATAGATAGGTAGTATAAATGTTGTGTATATAAAATTTTACGAATTTTTTTCTTGTTATTATATGATTAAATTGTCTCTGTCAAACATACACAAATATTTTTTTGTTTTTTGTTTCAAATATAAAATGAAATGTTTAAAAATTTTATGTTAGCATTAAAAAATAGATATTTTATCGTTTTCTCGTTTTTCTACAAATATTTTTTAAAAAGTTTTCTTGTTTTTAGCGACGTTGCTTTTGTAATTGTTGTTGTTCATGTTGTTGATGTTGTTGTTCATAGACATGAATTTATTCATACACCTTGCTATTGTGGTGTAATCATAAATGCAGCACAACGTAAGTAGTTTTTCTTTTGTTTTTGTTTTTCTTAATTGTTTGAATTTGAATATATATATATGTGGGAAACACAACAACGTTGAAATTTTTTGGATTTCAGATTCTGGTCTATGGCAAAGTTCATAAGGTTGTGGTGTTCTGTGGATATTGTTGTTTGATTTGTTTTTTATATTTCTGCCTCTTTTTGTGTGTTGGCTAATTTAGAACTGCTGATAGTTGTTGCTATTGTTCTTGTTTTGATGGTAATTACTCGACGCATTGTTATTGTAATAGTTGCTTTGAGCATTATTATGTTTGTTGTATTTACCATAACCGTAGTCATATCCATTATAGTAGCCGCCGGCATAGTAGTCGCCATAGCCGCCGCTACCATATCCACCGTATCCACCATAGCCGCCATAGGAGCCCTGGCCGTCCCATTGGTTGTTGTAGCCTATAAGATAAGATTTAAGTAATTAAGCTATTTATATAAGTAATCTTATGTATTTACCTCCTCGTCCGAAGCCTCCACGTCCGCCACGCATTCCACCGCGCATACCACCGCGTGGTCCCATCATCTGGTTTTCTGGTTTAGGCGTGGCCCGCTTAACGTCCACCTCCTTGCCAGCAATCTTTTGCTTTGGCGTCTTCAGCAGATCCGTGACCACCTGCTCCGCATCAAAGGTGATGAAACAGAAGCCCTTGCGCTGAGACTTTTGCTTGTCAAATGGCATCTCGACTTCAACGATCTTCAGGGATATAATATTATTATAATATAGTTATAGAAAGTCTTTAATTTTCAATCGCATACATTGCCAAACTGTCCAAAGTAGGTCTTGATCTCTTCATCGGTAATCTCCGTTGTAAGGCCACCTACAAAGATCTTGCCATGGCGGGCCTTAGCTTTCTTGGGGTCGACCTTCTTGCTGTTAATGATGTGCTCCTCGGCGGCGCTGACCTTGTCGATCGCTTCCGTGGTGGTGAACACAATGAAGGCGAAGCCTCTGGAACGGCCGGTCTGTGGGTCTGTCTTAACATTGATGCTTTCGATTTCACCAAACTTGCCAAAATGATCGCGCAGCTCCTCTATAAAAATTATAAGATATTTATATTAATAAAATATACTATTTTAAGGCTAATCATGTACTTACTTTCCGTAGTTTCCCAGCTAAGGCCGCCCACAAACAGTTTTCTGTGAAAAGTTTAAATGAAATTCTTTAGTAATCAACAATATTTATGATGATCTATAATAATAATTTCTACATAAAGGTGGGAGTTCAGGGGGGGGGAAAAAAAGATAACTGAGGGGGGGACTGGGCACAAAAATAGGTTGTGTTTAAATGCGCGAGGCAAGTATTTCTTCATTTACTTTAAATTTCTTCGTATTGGCTGCAAAAGAATTGATGACAGAGCAAATATACAAAAACGAATAAAAAAAACTCACCAAATTTGAAGTAAAAGTTACTGATCTTTAATTACTGATTACTATTTTTTGCAATCAAAGATTTTTGATCGGATAGGAAAGTCAAAAAACTAGCAAACTCGGAAATGAGCGAAAGAGTTCGAGGAGCGAGCGATCAAGAGACACAAAACGAGCGAAATGTTGGTAAAAATATATATATTTTATATTATATATATATCTAAATGCAAAAGAAAGAAATTTTAACTTTTAACAATTAGTCTTTATTTGATAGGATGAGAAAAAAGAATGCAAAAGGTTTATGCTGGATTTGTAGTTGGTTTTAATTGCTTTATTTATCTCTGGGCTGTTGAAAATTTTATAAAAAAGTGTATTTAAAAAAAAATTATTATTGCATGGACACTTAGTTTACTTTGGATGTACGTTACTCTTATTTTTGGTATTGATTTTTTTTGAAAGAGGTCACTGCGTGCGTACTCTGCGGATGAGATTCCCGGCAATTTTTGGCAATTTTGGAACAGTCTCTTCTCCCGGCGGCGAAATTTCGATATCGATATAGTGCTTCATTACGTTACATTTTGGTTTCATTGTTATTTTATATATATATATTTGAGAGTTGATCGGGCGATAATATTGTGATTCTGATTCTGATTGTGATTGTGAGGAGCTTCTTAAAAACGAAACGGAAAAAACTGCGAGTCTCTTTCACTCGGTCTCTCTCTGTCTCCGATTATTTTGAATCATATTTTAATCGTTAAGTTTAGATCTCTATATATTTTTATGAACAATATACGTTATACGTTATATATATACGTTAAGAAGGTACAATACAATATATACTCAGATATAAGATTATATATGGATCCAATTTGAAATCGAGATAATTTGTTGATTTGATAATTTTGTGTGTCGATAGTTCTATATATATATTGATATATTGGCTGACTGACTGATTGATTGATATTTTTTTTTTTTTTAGTTTTTGGTTAGATAAATACCATCAGCATCTATATCGGCGGTACGGTTATGAAGAGCACTTTGGAGACTGGAAACTGGAGACTGGAGCGTGGAGCGTGGGGATGTCCATCATGTCCATGTCCCAAATCCATGTATCTTCCTCCCATCGTATCGTATCTGGATCCTTCGGCACTTGAGAATAGCTAACATTGCCAACACATTTTCACTTCTCTCAAGACCTGCCGGAGAGGAACAAGGTTAGTTCGCTCACAAAACCCAACAGGATAAGCTATGAATTTTTGGAGTTAAATGTTGTGTTTTCGTATTTAATCCGGTCCTTCTCCTTCGATTCGACGATATCGATTCCTTATCGATTTTATGTACAGCATCTCGTGTGTTACTTAAGATTAAACTTAGATATTAAATGATCAGTAGAGATGGGGGAAAAATGAAGTGGTATAGTAGCATAAAAGCCTAGAAACGAAAACAATAGGTAATAAAGAGTCCAAACCTACTTATACCGACAGTGATGGGACAGAAATCACACATATATTTTTTTTATTAAAAAATAAAACAAAATTTAGCTTGAATGTTGGTACACAATTGTTTAGAACTGGTGATCCGGTTGTCCGCGGAGTGTAGTTAGCAACTATTTTTTCAAAATCACAAATTTTAACAGATTTTTAAAAATAAAATATTTAATTACTATAACTAATTCCCATCACTGTGAAACGAGAAAATACATCCCAAACGACGATTCGGATACATAATACTAATTTTAATAATTTTTTACAAAATAAATATCTATTTAAAATGTAATTTAAAATTTTAAAATTTAAATGTATATATTTTTTATTTAGAGCCTTGGCAACTCTAAAATGACGCCGGCTGTCCCGAGTGAAAACGAAAGATGGGGTGAGAGAAACAGAGAGCGCGCGCGGGTAGGAGAAGCCGGCAATCAAAAGAGAATGGTGAAAACTGCAAAACACACACACACACTTACACGCTGGAGAAGCGTTTGTATGTATGTTTGTTGAATGGCCGCCATTTTAAGTAAAGAAGAAGCACAACATAACAACGAACAGCCGAAACAAAGAATAATGCGAATAAAAAGAATACTCGGCCAATACAAAGTTAACTTTTTGCAGGTGAAAGGCATCTGCATGTGTATGTGTGCGAGTGGACCAACGTGGGAAACGAACATAACCTCACACATAAGAAAATGTGCTTCATTGTACGGAATGGAAATACAAATTTGTATTTGAGAACAATTGAGGGAAATACACAAATTTTCCACTGCTCGGCGGGATACTATAAACTTCCAAAAGATTCTATTAATATGCCGCCTGAAGCGGCCTGAAGTACAGTCGCACCTATACCGACACACACACATACACTATGTGGGAGAGAGCGAGAGAAACAAAAGGGGTCATAAGCGCAGAGAGACTCCGCCTGACTTCCCCCCCACAATGCTCCTGTAACCATCGAACGACGACGTTAGCTTTGGATTTACGTAACGGAAAAATTTCGAGAACTCGGGGAGCACATGATCAGCTGCCCGATGGTTTATGTTCCTCATCTTCTATATGAATTCGCATTTTTCGCATACCTGTCGTCATCGCGCTGGCCGGATGCTCCAGATTGGTTTTCAGAGGCGCCATTAGTCGAACCGGCGGCGTTGCCCTCGCCATTTTCGGTGGTACTTGGCGCATCGGCAGTCACGTCCTTGGTGAAATCCTCGCCATTCATCTCAGTGTCAACTTGCTGCTTGTCGGTCATTTTAGCAATTTCTTTTGTTTTCAATTTAAAGCACAATTTCTAGATGATTTCCAGCCGAAGCAAAGCCTAGTTACACACTTGCTAAAAATATCGCGCGTACGAACGAAATGACGACCGGAAAATGACAAATGCAACGACAGCGTGTGTATATCGTTATGGCGTTGCCACCTAGTGATGTCTGTTAAAGAATCAGCGCCTAGTATTTTTCTTTAAAAAAAATAGTTCAACAATACACCATTAAAATAAAAGATTAATGGCTATTACAGTATACAAATTAATATATATAAATAAATGTATACTAATTTATATATCATATTATTTGATTTTCGAAAAAAAAAAAACATTTTATGCCGGCTCTGTATTTGGATATTTGTATTGCCAGTGTATACACACCATCAATAATTAAAAATTAAAAAACTATCAAAATTTAATCAAAGGGAAACTAAATTCCATGGTTTTTTAGAGACTTAAAATACACACCAAAAAGCTTCTTAAATATAATTTTAAATGTAAATAATAAATAAAACAAAATGAAAAAATTTCAAAAATATTGGCGCGTAACGGCCAGCATAGAAGTCATTAGTCTGGCAGCATTGCCATTGTATCTAAAAATACCAAAAAATACAAAATCTAAGAACTAGTTAAGCCTTTACTACTATTCTCTTATCAAACAATTAATAAAGAAACTAATTATCCACAAGGAGTACGTAATTTAAACCATATTTTCTTGTTAAAAATATAATTTTTACAAAAATTAACAATATGCTATGACAGTGTGTACATATTCCCGCCGTGCCGCCATCATACACGCACACATGAAACCGCACCGAGAATAAAACGCTGCAGAGGCAAAAAAAGAGGAACGAACGAAAAGTCGGTTCTCTTTTCGACTCAACTGAACACTTGTCCAATTTCATTGCGTTTGCGATTATTTTCTACTCAAAAAACCAAAAAACACAACCAGCCAACGCATCGTAACTTAATTCAAACCACAACTGTGATCGCCCAACATCGGAAATAATAAATAAAAGCAACGCACCAGAAGAATTGCCAAGTTAGTTATCAACCAAAAAATTTGCAACAAAGTAGAGTAGAAGAAGAAGACGACGTCGCGGTTTTGTGTGCGTGTTCTATAGTGTGTGTGCTTGGGTGTTTGTTGCAGTTTGCAATTAGTAATTCTAAGAACTAAATCGAAATTTAAAAAAAAAATCGAAAGACTAATTCAAATTATTACGATTAATTTCAGCGCTCCATTGAAAGTCCTTCCCTACACCACCATAAGTGCAACAAAGAGTCAAATTTGGCGAATTTCAACCCATAAGCAATACACACTGTGCATTACAACAGCAGCGTACGGCGGAAAATCGCAAAAAAGGTGAGCCGGCGGCGGTCTAGAAAAATAGAACTTTCCATCGGGGTGGAAAAGGCTCGAAGAAAGGGGGAAAATTATGTTGGGCGTGTTTTCGTTCTCCAGGTTTCTACATTTTAGCGGCTTTTTTTATGGCCCCCGTGCATAACCTTAAAATTGGAAAAAAAAGAATAAAAAAGAAATTGTTTTTGTAAATTTTTGTTTAAATACTACTCTTTATTTATCGCTTTCTTTGTTCATCCTACACACGCGGTTCGCCAGCAAAGAGCACTGGGAAGAGAGAGAGAGCCCCCAAAAGTTGCGTGTTTGGGAGTAGTGTGTGTGTGTCTGTAGCGGCCGCAACTCTTTGTGCTTTATTTTATTATCGGTAAATATTATTAGTCGTTAAGGTGTGAGAAGTAAATGTTTAAAATATCATTTTCCAACAAATATAGTTTCAGAGATCCATTTCCCTTCGCTAGAACTAAAGCTAAACTAGGATTAAAGCCGCGGGTAGCAGAGCGGCGGCGGCGGCACAACCTTGAAGCGCAAACCTAACCTCAAAAACTTCATGTTCCCCCGTTTCGCGGCTTCGTTCCGCCCTATGAGTGTATGTTTATGAGGTCATTTACACGAAAAGCGCACACATACACACTCCGGGGGAGGGTGTCCTTTGTGGCAGGATCGCAGAGACAGGCGAAAGCACGTGCAGGTTAAAATATCCAACAGCCAGCCAGAAAAATAGGAGCAGAGACGACCTGAAAGGGTCTTTGGCGACAGCTGCACTTTTTCGTGTTTGCTCGAAGTTTCCCCTTTTTCCGCATTATTACCGTGTGTGTGTGTGTGTCATAAAGTGGGTCAAACTGCATCGCTCTGCGACTCTTAGTTGTTGTTTTTTTTAAATGCACTGCAGCGAAATTACTTTAAATTTGGGTTAACTTCTCTCTCTCCCAAAAAAGTAGTTGCAGTGTTTTATTTTTAAACATCTGGATAGTTTGGGAAACACATGGTTTGGAATCAGAACTATCTCCACTATAGCTCTGCCTTTACTTTCATCCAATCATATCGAGAATTCAGAATCTGGATATTTTCAGTTTTAATCAGTAGCCCGACAAGTCTATTTCTAAATATTAGTATATTAATTGGCTTTAACATTTTTGCAGACGCTGACGCTAGCAACCCAAAAAACCTAAAACTCCTAAACTAAAGTAATCCCAATCCCGATTGGAAACCTTAAGACCGATTATCGGGCATATCCCAGGCGATACAACCACTTGGACTTTGTTGAAGCTGCTCAGTGTAATCCAGAGGTAGAAGAGCAATGGTCATGGATGCGACCCAATCGCAGCAGCCTTCGCCGCAGTCGGTGGGACGTGAGTTTGTCCGCCAGTACTACACGCTGCTGAACAAGGCACCCAATCATTTGCATCGCTTCTACAACAACAACTCGTCCTACATCCATGGGGAATCGAAGCTTGTGGTTGGACAGCGGGAGATCCACAACCGGATCCAGCAGCTGAACTTCAATGACTGCCACGCGAAGATCAGTCAGGTGGATGCCCAGGCCACTTTGGGCAATGGAGTGGTAGTGCAGGTCACTGGAGAGCTGTCGAACGATGGTCAGCCGATGAGACGATTCACCCAGACTTTCGTCTTGGCTGCTCAGTCGCCGAAGAAGTACTACGTACACAACGACATCTTCCGCTACCAGGACCTGTATATCGAGGACGAGCAGGACGGTGAGTCGCGATCGGAGAACGATGAGGAGCACGACGTTCAGGTTGGGTCTGGCTCGTCATCTGGTACCGTCGACCAGGCGGTCCAAGTTGTTGGCGAGGTTGTGGCTCAGCAGCAGCAGCCGGCACCGCCGCAGCCGCAGGGACAGGTGGTCCAGCAGGTAACTCCTGGAGCAGCTACTGGGGCTGCCCCCCAGCAAATCTTCTATCCGCTGCCAGCCGGTGCTGGTGCCGGGCGTACGGTGGCCGTTTTGCCAGCTGCCCCCCAGGCAGCCGCTGTGCCGTTGCCGGCTCAGTTTGCTGCCCAGCCGATCCAGAATGGTGTGGTGTCGCACGAGGAGTTGCAGCAGCAGCAGCCCCAGCAGGTTTTGGTGCCGCCTAGTGTCTCGCCTTTGGTGCAGCAGGGTGGCACTCCCATTGTGCCCATCGTCCCGGTACAGAGTACGGGCTTCCAGCAGTCGCCTTTGGTGGCACCTCAGCTCATCCAGCAGCAGCAGCAGGCGCCCCAACTGCCGCCTCAACAGCAACCCATCCAGCAGCAACAGCCAATCCAACAGCAGCAGCAACAGCAGCCAGAGCCCGAGGAAGTGGAAGTCGCACCGCGTCAGCTCCAGAAGCCGCCAACGCCCGTCGACGACTTCAAGACCATACACGAGCAGCAGCAGCAGGAGAAGTACGAAGCCGTCAAGCAGCAGCAGAATGAGCCCAAGACCTATGCGAATCTGTTCAAGTCGACCTCCTCCTCGCCCAGTGGATTCGTTAACGCAGCTCTGCAGCAGCAGCAGCAGCTCCAGCAGCAACAGCAACAACAGCAGCAGCAGCAGTCGATCACCAGCAGCTCTTATACCTCGAATTCTTCTGGTGGCGGCAACGGGCAGGTGAGCTACTCGTCGACGGCCTCCAACTACAACAACAGCAATGGAAACTCGCGTTTGGACAACGGAGGTCCGCTGCCACAGCGCAACAACTCGATCCGCAACAACAAGGGGGGTAAGTATTCAACCTACTATGTATATTTTTCTTAATTCTAAAATATTTTTTTAATTTGCTAAGAGTTTGAACAGCGCCGCTCGAGCAACACCCAGCAGTTTGGGGACAACCAGCAACTCTTCCTCGGAAATATACCTCACCACGCCAGCGAAGAGGAGCTGCGCGATCTGTTTTCGCAGTTCGGCACGGTCGTTGAGTTGCGGATTCTGTCCAAGGCTGGAAACAAGGTGCCGCCCGGTATGCGCAGCCCCCTGAACTATGGATTCATAACCTATGATGATCCCGAGGCAGTGCAAAAGTGCCTGGCTAATTGCGTAAGTAAATCGGAGAGGTTGAGGATCATAATACATTCTTCGAATGTTTATAGTTCTAATTACGAGTATTATTACCTTATTTAAACAATATTTCTCCCCGCAGCCTCTGTACTTCCCGGAGAATTCGCCCGATGGCCAGAAACTGAACGTTGAGGAGAAGAAACCACGTATCCGGAACGACATGGCACCGCGCCAGCCGATCGGTGGCAACAGCCTGAACAATAACATGGGTCGCTTGGGTGGCAACAATGGTCCTCAGTCTCGGCCAATGGGCAACAACAACAACGGCACTGGTGGCGGAATGATGCGTAATAACAACGCCGGTGGCAACAACATCCGTCAGGGAGGCGGTGGTGGTGGCGGCGGAAACGGTGCTCCGCGCCTGGGAGGTGGTGGCGGTGGATTTGGACCGCGCCAGGACAACCGCAGCGGTGGCGGAAACAACCAGTCCAACGGTCCGCTGCGCGGTGCCGGCAATGGACAGACCGGTCAAGGCAATTACGGGCGTCGCTAAAAAAACTAAATCCATCACAAACCAGAACACAAGAGCAACAGCAGCAGCAGCAACGGCCACAGTAGCAACATAACAACAACAGCGGCAGTAGCAACATAAACAACAAAAAAAACCCATCGTTAAGAACATCGACTTCTTCCACAATGCAATCAATCAATTACATTCAAGAACATCAAATGCAATTAAACACAAAATCCATTAAAACACAATGTAGTTGGAGCAACAAACTAAAAGAAGCAGCAACTCGAGGCAAAAAAAAACAAAAACCTAAAAAAAAATATCAAAAAACACAAAAAAAAAGCCAAGACAAGGTCTATCCTTAGTTTAATTGCGTAAGGCCCGCTTTTCCAGCCAGTTCGTGCCAAAAAGAAACCGAAATTCTGTGCAAATCTCTCTGTTGTGAATGAAAAGAAAAGGAATGCTTCAGCTCCACTACTACTGTATACCCCGTCAGAAATCCCTAGCACATGCATTAAGTTAAGACTCAATCGCTCACAAGACACAAAAAAACACACACTACATACATACACACCATCGGATTAAAGAGTCACCAACGGAGACACATTCACGCCCAGACCATCCTAGCATAAATGTATACATTAGTAACAGCTCTCGTTTGGCAAATCACTTTCAAGAAAAAATCTTAAGTTTAAAAAAAGAGAAGATCGCTATAAAATGAAAGTAGAGATGCATATTTTTCGTTTGTTTTGTTTTCATTAAACACAAAAAAATACTTAAGCTAAAAATAAAAGAAAGAAATTAAAACAAAAAAAACTTAAACAAAACTTAGCTAAAAGATATAAACAAAAAAACAAAACAAGAAAAAAAAAAAACAAACAAAAAAATGAAAAACATTTGTAAAATGCAATAAAAAAGAGCAAAAGAAAGACTTGAAAAAAAATTAATCTAAAACCAACAAAAAAAAAAGAAATGGTAACACGAGAAGAATGTAAGAAATGCAGAGAAACACAGAACACACATCTTAAAAAAATACAAAAATTTAATAAAAAAAATCATAAGATCCGCAAGGAAAACACTTCGTCGCCAGCGCCCCAAAGGAGCCCCAAGTCCGCCGCATTTAGGAGCCTGTAAACATATTGATAATTGCTACCTTAAATTTAATTTGCAGACACTTTCAAGACCTTTAACTAGCTAGTCTATACTACGTAGGGAATCGGATCGAATGGCTACAAAAAAAAAACAAAAACCGAGTGATTGAGGATAGTGTTGGGATAAATGGAAAATAAAAGAAAAGTGAGAACGTATAAGGGCGAATGCGGTGCCGGCGCCGCAGTGGGGGCGTCGAAGGACAGCGTCGATTTTCAGTTTTCTAACGAAACACTTTTTATGTATTTTTGCTTTTTTTCTTCATTCTGTGTAATGAGTTCAAGGTCGTAAGCCAAACTAAGTCAAGCAACATAAACGATTTGGTGTTTCCAACGCAGTTGTGAACTAAAATGTAGTACATATTTTTTAAATAAAATCAAAAAAAAAAGCCCAAAAAAAAATGTGTGAGGATAACAGAAACTTATAATAGATACAAAAAAAAAATACAAGAAACAAGCTACTAACATTTTTCTCAAGGTAAATCAAGCAAAACATGTAATAAATATATACAAACAAATATATATATACATATATATAAACAGAAAACTCATTAAACAGATATAATTTAATGTTAACTTTTAGAATTACAAGAAAATTAAATATACATACAAATATTTATATAACTGCAGCAGAGGGAAGAGAACTAAAAAGAAATTTCAATTTCCGGCAGGCGTCTATTATTTTCTTAAGTAATTCTGCTTTGTTAATGCTTGAGAACTTTTGATTCGTTATGAACATATCATTTGTTTTTTTGTTGTCGGCGCCAGCTCTAGAGAATCAATTGCTAAATCAATTAATTACGTTCTTCAATTATGTTTTAGTTAAAACACACATTTTTAGCACTGTGATTGGGGGCTAAAGCAATTTTAGTACATTTTTTGCAAAACAAAAATGTTAGTGTTCAAATCTTGGCTCAATGATCAGTGCTAAAAGTGGTTCGTATGCCCCAAATAATCACAAAACCTTAAAACTTAAACTATAATGTCTGTAAGAAGAGCATTCAAACACACAAAGCTCATGCTCATTTCTAAATAAACGAAAGAGAACACACAATACTGCAGTTTGTAAAGAATAATATAAATAAAAACGGAACACTTAATTATAATTTTATTTATATGTATACAACTACAAAATAATTATAATAATAATAAAACAACAAAGATTCAGCGTGTTTACCAGAAAAACTTATTATTTGTTTTATTTCTTCTGTTTCTATAACTATACGATAATATCATATTCGTTCTGGTAAATGCGGTTATTTCCTGAGAAACACCAATGAATTATAGACACACTAAGAATTAAACAAGAAACAAGAAAAACACCATATTTCCAATTATATATATCAAGGCGATTCCTGTGACTGAATCCGATATTTCCATTGCCTTGAGTTTAACAATCTGAGCGTGAGCGTTCGGCATTTAATATGAAATTTATGCGCACAAAGTCGAGCAATTGCAAGCAATTTGCATAACTTTAATCAATCACAAGCATAAAAGAAAGAATATATCCACTCTCCCGAAACCCCAAACCCCGAGTCTCAGACATAAATCAGTGGTGCGTTTTATAGCGTTTCAGATATAAAACAATTACGCAAATCAATTCACTCATGCAATACTTTAAAAAACAAAAATCAGAAAAAAACAGAAATACATGAATAGATTAAATAAAGAACAAATTTACGATTTTAAGTCTCAAAAGCCAAGTGTTTAAGTGGTTATATAGTGGTTTATTCGTACTTCTCTCGAAGAAGTCTCATACAAATCGTAAAAATATTAAAGATACATTTATATAGCAAAGGTTTTTGGGATTTCCACAATTTAGATGCCTGTAACGATATAAAGATAAAGACCATTTTTTATTTTTCTAATTGACTTTAAAGGTTGCTTTTAAGACTACCCGATATTCCAACAAACATATATCCAATATACAACTACAACAGACATTCTATGCAAAGATGGGTCGATTTATTTCTTCCAAGAATCGTAATCATTCTTGTTATAAAATTCTAAGTCTTTCTAACTAGTCCGTTAAATATTTTTTTTTTTTAACTATCTATTTAGGATATCTTTTCTCAAGCTAAATTATTTTTTTAAGATCTTATCTTTGCTCTTTTAAACGAAAATTAACTTAAAATTTGTCAAAGTAGTTGACTTTAAAATCAAATTATTTTTTTTGCTTTAAAATTTTGAATGTTCTTAGAATTTTATATAGTGGTCCAGTCAGTTTAGTCAGTTTAGTTCTTTGGCTTGGACAATAATCGACACACCAAACTATATATCGTACCGTAGGCGGGCGTGGTGCCTCCGTTTCCCACTTTCGAGTTGTGCCGCTGGGCCGGCTTGAAGACCTTATAGTCATCAGTGGGCCATTTCTTGGTTGCTCCAGTGGAGACGGCTGGTGCCACCACAGTTCCAGCCCCATCTGCATCGCCCCTGGCACCGGGATCGGACTTGGGTTCCGGGGTTTCGTTGGTCGAGGTCTGGGCGTGTTTGTGCCCGGCCTTCGGTGGCCATTCAACCACATTGCTCGGAATCCACTCCTGATTGGCATACTTCTGGTAGGCGGACCAAGTCTCCGCCGGGTAACTGGCGTACCCGAGATGCGGCTGTAGCGGAGCCTGATAAACATTCTTGGCGGCGTAGACCAAGGTGTTGGTCGGTTGCGGAATTTCCGGAGTCACATACGAGGCCCAGCCGTTGATGAAGGCCGATGGCGGCAGGACGGTCTGCGCCAGATACGGATTGTAGGTGGTGCTGCTATAGTTGTAGCTATCTAGCGATGCCGGTTGCGGCGGAATATAGCCGGCGCGAGCTGCTCCGCCCACGGGGAAACGAAGACGCTTGCCAGGATCTGCTTTCTGGGTGGACTTCTTCACCTCCACCGTGGTCATATTAATCGTATGTTTGCCTTGAACTATAACCGTAATAAAAATTTATAAAATTATTTAACTAAATATTATCTTTACAATGAAAACTAAAAGGAATTTCGGAAAAAACTCACCCAGAGCTCTCTCAGCACTAGCGAAATCCTCAAACTCGAGGAACCCAAATCCCCGCTTGCGTCCAGTATCCTTGTCCAGCAGCAATTTCACGCTGGCGACTCCTCCAAATTGTGAAAAGTACTCCCGAATGGAGTTCTCATCGTGGCAGTCCTTCAATCCGCCCAGAAAGATCTTGTTCGACTTGACGCCACCCATTCCAGCAGCGATATTGGTAGCACCTCCTCCTATTTTCACAAAATCTTGACGGGGCAGGGCGCGTTTGGTCTCCACGGTTCTAAATGAGGCAAACATTAGACGGTAGCTCAGTACGAATAAAAAAACAGTTCTTGCTAGCCGACTTTCCAGTTTCAGACTGATCGAATTCTAATTCTAATTTCAAGTATCTGACTATCTTAGAATAAAACAGTTTTCAGGGCTTACTTGTTGTCGATGATATGTGGCTGGGCCCGCTGGACATTTTCTACGGACTTTCCGTCTACGAAGGTGACGAAACCAAAGCCCCGAGAATGATTGGTTGTCGGATCTCGCATCACTACGGCATCTGCAACGGCACCGAACTGCCGGAAAAACTCACGTAATGTTTCCACGGTCGTCTGGGTGGATAATCCTCCGATAAATATTTTTCGCAAGTGCTCGTCTCCATGAGGTGCATTTTTTGGAGTGGCGACCGGATTGGTTGAAGACACACCAACGTTATTGTTACGTTTCGGCTTGCGCTATTTCGGAAAAATCGGGAAACTCCAGAATAAATATATTATTACGGTTGAAAAAAGAATCATACCTCTATCAGGCAAGCACCTGGGTCCGCACATTCGTTATCCATTTTGGGCAAGAAAGACCAAATAAGACTGAAGCACAAATTTGAAGACGGCAGAAATTTTAGTGACACGCGCTGGGTGGAGTAGATTCTAATGTCAAATGATCTGTCATATACCAATACACCTACATATATGCAGCGGAGCCAACTTTACAAGTTCCGGTGTAAGGTGACTATCGGTAAAGGATTCGATTTTGAGGTTATGGTCTGGAAACTTTTCAAAATTTTCAAATATTGCAAAATGGTCTCATTATAATACATGAATTATCAAAACTTTAAGATTTCTTTAAAAAGAAAACATAGTTTTTCTTGGAATTTAAGACTAGTAGAATCTTTTAACCCTTTTTTGTAATTCCTGAAAATTTTGTTAACAGTATTCCTAACAGTTAACAGTTTGCTAACAGTATTCCCATCTCGAATCTTTGTAACTTTACAAGAACAACCAATGTGCCCACACCCGCTTCAATAAAATAACAAATTTTAATTTTCAATAAATATTCAGTTCTTTATTCAAAAAATAACGCATAAATATTAAATAGGTTAGTTAAATGCATACAAGTTACCTGCACTTACCTTTAAATACAACCCAGTCTTCGGAAATGGCTGCCAGTCAAGGGGGTCAGCTACAACTTAGAATTAGTCTCGTGGAAGAAACGAACCGGAGCGAAGTGCAGAATTCGAACTCGAATCCCGCCTGGGAGCATCCGTCCGTTGCCAGTCTTGTAAAGAAATACGCAGGGCATTAGTAGGCTCTGTAGTAGTGCCTGGGGGTTAATTGGGGGGTATATAACTAGCCCTGCTCAAGAGCCCATCATACTTGGGTTCTAGCCCCATACTCGATACTCGACTGCTGCTTGTCTGGACGAGTCCTGCGACCGTTTCGGGTGGGTAACATTGGTTATATTTTTATTATCCTTTATCTCATCGCCTTTTTTTTTTGGAACGAACTAATTACAGAAAATGTGTGATTACTTTTTGTGTAGTTGGTTGTTTTTTTTTTTTTCTTTCTTAGCGTTTGGTTTCTTCTTAGGGACTAACAAAAGTTGGTATGTTTCATTAGTAAGTCATTGCTAGTACATTCTCATACCCATTTGGAATTATAGATGTTGCCTTGATCTTGATATATTAAATTATATAAAAGTTCTTAATCGTACAAAAAATTGATTACAAAATATGATACTATTTGAATTTATACAATTGCTCTTGCTATTTAAAATAAACAAAATGGAAATACATCTACAGCTGTGGGCCATCCACCGCATCCCGGCATGAACATATTTCATGTTACTCTACCTTATTACACCCTTTTTGGTTCAACCGATTGTATTTTTTTTGTTGAAAACTCAAATGGTTTCTATGGTAGTCTTTTTGTTTTAAAGAAATAAAATTATAGTTTAATTAAATTTTTTGTTGGTTGGGTTTCGATAAATTTCTTTTAAATTTTTTTCTCTTCGTTAATATAGTTAAAACTAAGCGTTCAAGGTTCTTAAGATCCTAAACATGAATTGATCAGCGAATTAAAGATTACAAAAAGAGAGACAGTATCAGTACACCTTTGAACGAAAGGAGTTAGTATTGTTCCTTATTCTCGTTATTGGCTCTTCACTTTTTTTTGGGCTTTTTGCATGCATTCTTTTATAGATTGTAGGTTTTGCTTTTCTTTTTCTTTTTTTGGTCTTGCACTCGGGCCTGCATCTGGATCTGGTACGGGTTCTGATCTTGTCTGCCTGGTCTGACACACACTCACACCTGCCTCTCATTGCCTGCCTGAGCCTGAGCCTGAGCTTGTGATAGTGATAGTGCATCTGCATCTGCCTGCCTAGACTGTCTGCTTGTCTAGCTTGTACTGACTCTGCCTCTCTACGTGTGATTACCTAGTTGCGAGAAAGGAGGAGAAAATTTGCATTAGCTTTCATTCAAGTTGAATGGTTCGAATTGATTGATTGATTGATTGCTTGGCCTTCTACTATTTTGCCAAAACCGACCAAAGATACTTGCGTGGTTTAAAGAGTTGGGTCTGGTGCCCATTTGGGGCATATTTACCTTGTCTAGTAACGTCTATTGCCGCCTCCCATATTGCCCTGGCCGCCTCCAGAGTTGTAGTTGTTACCGCCGAAGCCTTGTCCACCACCCTGGTTACCTAAAAATACATAATTCGAATCATTAGCGTGACCCTTTGAGATCCGGGGATAAAGTCATACCTTTGTTGAAGCCACCGCTGCCGCCTTGACTGTAGGGAGCTGGCCGGTTGTTGCCAAAGTTGTTGCTTCGCTGGGGTCCACCGCCATAGCTCTGTTGGTAGTCATTGCCGAAGCCACCTCCTCCGTTGCCGCCCCAGTTTCCGTTGCTGTTACCGCCTCCGTAGCCACCGCTGCCACCACCACCGCCGTTGTTCCAGCCATTGTTACCCTGGTTGTTCCACGGGCCGCCACCACTACCGCCGCCGCCCTGCTGGTTCCAGCCGCCGGCACCGCCGCCCTGGCCGCCAAAGTTGCCACCGTTGTTGCCGAAACCACCGCCGCCGGCGTTCCAGTTACCGCCGCCGTTCTGACGGTTGTTTCCGCCCCAACCGCCGCCGCCTCCGCCTTGGTTGCGATCGCCTCCACGGCCACCACCAGGGCGACCGCCGGGACCACCCCGACCGCCACCGCCTCCCCCTCCGCCGCCACCACCCTGGCGATCCATGTCCTGCTTGGCAATAGCCTTCTTAACATCCAGGCTCTTGTTCTTAATGGTGTGGTTCTTCTGCAGGATGATCTTATCCACAGGATCGTAATCATCGAATTCAATGAAGGCGAAGCCTCGCTTCTTGCCAGTATCCTTGTCCGAAACAATGTTCACACCCACGATCTGACCAAAGTCCTGAGATACAAAAAGAGGTTAGTCTTCTAAAGCTATTGACAAAAATATTGACTGTACCTTGAAGTACTCCCGCAGGCACTCCTCATCGTGATCGTCGCGCAGTCCACCAACGAACAGCTTCTTTACGGTGGCACCCGCATTAGGGGCATCGATTTCCTGGCGGGGAACCGCCCGTTTCGGTTCTACAGTGCGTCCATCGATTTTGTGAGGGCGCGCATTCTGGGCGTTATCAATCATGTACGACTGCGAGTAGGTAATGAATCCAAAGCCCCGAGAACGCTTGGTCTTAGGATCCTTCATCACCACCACGTCCACAATGTTGCCCCATTTCTCAAAGTGCGCCTTCAGGCCCTCGTCCGTGGTACGATAGTCCAGTCCACCGATGAACAGCTTACGCAGCTGCTCTGGCTCGGTGATCTGTTAAATGATAAACATATTTACAATATTAATGGGATGAGATTTTGCGATTATTAGGTATTAGTTGAAGGGTTTTCCATGTATGGGTAATTAGCGGCAAGAGAAAGCGGTAGGTAAAACATTGTAAATATATTTAAATTTATACCTATGTGTATATATATATTTTGATATACATACATATGTATATCCATATATGTACACATTTTGGAATATTGAAAGGCCACTCATCTACCTGGAGGAAAACAGACAATGCCGCCCGCCATTTTCTTTTTAATTTTTTTTTTTGCACCGCCATGACAGCTATTGTGTATGTATGTGTGTATATGTATGTGTTTTTTTTCGGCACAGCCGGTTCCAGTTTTTTTCTTTTGTAATTAACCTTTTTTGCAAAGGCGCAAAACCATATTTGGCAGATCACTGACCGGTGGGGATCGCCAGAAAGATCAATGACCCCCTCCCCATATACCCCTATAATCAATAAATAGAACTAACCGCGTGCTAAGGTGCAAAACTGTCGGCGTCGGCAAAACACGTATCAGCAAAAATAACTTACAAAATAATTGCAATTACGGTACTCACCTCATCGCAATCGTCGTAGTTTCCGTTGGAGTCGTTAATATCAGCCATTATCTGTATTATTTGTTATCAACCAACCAGTAATGAAACTCTTAGTCAAAGTTTTCTTCACTTTTCCACAGAATGGTGTACAGCACGCACAAAGAAACTGGGCAGCAGTGTGGCCAAGTATCGAATGCGCGGAAAAGCAGAATTTGCTGTCCAAATCAATTATGCGCGAACGCGGAATCGAAACAACTATTTAATACTATTTTTTCCTTCGATGGTCAATAATCGTTACCAAAACTACATATGTAGATGAAGATAAAAAAAATATATTAAATAATATTCTAATTTCTATTCTATGCTTCTAGAAATATTCTATTCATCTAGAACAGCCCTAGAATAATACTGTTGTTGACATACATCGATGAGAAAAGAAAAGCATTTCTGATTGAAAAATTTTAATTATTATGAATTGTCGTAAATTCCCGCCTTCTTTAAAAAAAATAAAAATATTGCAGTCTTTAAAACTATCGTTCCATTCCATTGTATCGCAGCACGCCGCGCACCATCTGTCAAACCCATTCCTCCGTCACTTCAACTTCCGTTCGTGTCGAGACATTGAGTTTGCATTTTTTCGTGTGACTGGTGTGCCTGAAAAAGCCGAATAAAAGAGCGTAAAATAAGCGAGTAAATTTTAAATTTACAATAGATAATCTTTAGTGAGCGGTAGGTTTTATTCTAACGTTATAATCAATTGAATAACAACTTAAATAAAGCCCCGATTATCGTGCGTATTGATTTTTCGCTAATGTTCTGTACACCCGGTGCATTGCGTTCGCGTGTGTGTGTTTTCGTGTCTGTATATTTTTCTCGAGGCCGCCATCTTGGCAAAATACACACGAACACGCATACTATTTTCTAGTAGTCTCGGGACCGTCGAGCAAAATAGAAAAGCTGATAAAATTTAATTATACATACTTTTAATTGCAGTACTTGCTAAAGATATATAGAGCAACGTTATAATGGTCGGATCTCGAGTTTACGTGGGCGGTTTGCCGTACGGAGTACGCGAACGCGATCTGGAGCGCTTCTTCAAAGGTTACGGTCGCACCCGCGACATTCTCATCAAGAATGGATACGGCTTCGTGGTGAGTACTATTAGCATATGCTCTGAGCTATGAATTCTAAAGTAATCCCATTATTTTTGTAAAGGAATTTGAAGATTATCGCGATGCCGACGACGCAGTGTACGAGTTGAATGGCAAAGAGCTGCTGGGCGAGCGGTAAGTGATGAAGAAAAACGCGGGAAAAAGTGTGATTCATGTGTGTTCTATTTTTGCAGTGTGGTTGTTGAACCCGCCCGGGGTACGGCTCGTGGCAGCAACCGTGACCGCTACGACGATCGTTACGGGGGTCGGCGCGGTGGCGGCGGTCGCTACAACGACAAGTAAGTACTAACTATACTTCATCGACCTTGTTTGAATTTTGTATTTTGCTCCACTTTCACCAATTGTCCGATTGCGTTCTTATGAGTCCACCAAACCCATCCACCGAAGTTGTATCGAGGCCTTAATTACTCTTCCACTTAACAGCACTATTATTAAGGAACATAAATCATTAAGGAATTTAACTTTATCTTTAAGTAGCACTATTTGTTTATGTTTTTCATTTTAATTTGGAATTTCGCGTAGTAAGGATTCATTCAGGACACTGGACTTGCTGTTTATGTATTTTTTTTATTTACGTATTGATCTGTACTGCTATGCCTTTTTATGATTTCATTTGCGTTTTGTTGCACGTTGCGTTTTTGCTCAAAATAGAGAATTGCTATAATAATGGTTTTATTTGCTCGACCAGAATGTGGTTTATCTACAATACCACCACATTTTGGTTTAATGGCGGAGCAGGAGAAACAGCAGCAGCGCAGTGTCAATACTAATTGGTTCATTCATTCAATTATTCACCAGAAACAAAAATTCCAGATCATCCTCTCGCTATGGGCCGCCATTGCGCACTGAGTACCGTCTGATTGTGGAGAATCTGTCGAGCCGCGTTAGCTGGCAGGTAAGTCTATTTCACCCAGTATACCTATCCCTCAAGTATGTAGTTTAGTCTCTCCAGGAGTGTAGGTTTAATCTTAAAAGCTAACCAATTTAAATTGGTCCTCTTTTTTTGAACAAAATTAACTACTAATTTATTAACCTGAATTCCCAAGTGAAATCCAAAATTCTCCCTCCAAGTTTTCATTTTTTTTCCCCCCGAAAGACCTCTATTTTGTGTTTAACTCCTCCCCGCTATGGTTTCCAGCTAATTTTAATCTGCTAAACTAGCATTAAGATGTAATGTTGAATGTAGGCTTAAGAGAAATGTATACAAATACCTGCTATAACCCTGGTACTGATCGGAGTTATCCACCCACCATTACTTTCTCTCGCACACACCAACTGGTATATCGAAACCGAATACAAAAGATAAAGAGTTTGATGGGTTTTTGAAGAACTTGAACTTGAACTTGAATCGTGGGCCAAAATACAATCAGATATGATAATGAATCCCGACTGAGAACCGTCGTGAGATGTCAGAACAAGACAAGCTAGACAAGACCGGTCGAAATCGGTTAACCAAATATCCAGTAATCGTGGCTCCCAGATCTGCCCCAGATCGGCCCAGATCTCGACGTTATACGACCTACGACCTCCAAACCAAAATCGACCTCTACGATGCGTCATCGCCGGCTGCCTCATCCATTCGTCCATTCGATAATGATCGATATTATAGAGTCGAATAGAACCACTGATATTAAACCAGACGACGATGATGGACATAGATGGGTGCGCGCTGAACAAAGACGAAAGGTCAGCCCACATACCAATAGTGTCGTGGGCTGGCCTCTTGTGTTAGGTATTTAACTCTCTGCTAAAAACATTCACAACTTAATTTACCTACAATATTATATAAAGAATTGTCAAATTCCTTATAGCCATTGTGAGTGTGAGGGCGTGTGGTTAGATGATGAGAAGCTTGCGTATATCAGAGACGACAAGACGATATGACGATGATGAGAGATGATCATGAGATGAGAACTCAGACGACGAAGACGATGATGCTGGTCGCGCGTTCTGTTGTCAACTTTGGCTAGTGCCTCCGAACTTAGTCCCCCAGACCAGAACTACACCCCGTACTACTCTCGGCATACGGCTCCGGTTGCGGCTTACGGCTTCTGACACCGGCTGACAGACTCCAACAACCCTGTTGGATCAGCGCGAGCGAACCCCGAAACGTATTTCTTATTTTTGCAGTTCGTTTGTGTGCGAGTGAGGCGCTGGCTAACTGCTCCATATGCTCCAATGCTCCAATGTTCCAATGCTTCAGTTCGGTGTGGTGGCTCTCTGGCATCGGCATCGGTATTGGCACTGGCTAGCGATGTCTTCTCTGCTATGATCTGACTCTGATCTGACCCTCTGACCGTATCCGCTGTGTGGTGTGGCTCCTTCCTCCGAAACGAGTTTGATACAAAAAAACGGAAACACTTGATTACTTTTTTGTTATTTTTATAAAATGAAACAATGAACCAAAAAAACCAAAAACCAAAACTAAAACTTAACTAAAACCAAAAAACCAAACTAAAACCAAACCAAAACGAGGTCTGGCCATTCATCCACTCATCCGTCTGCAACTGGCTGAGTTTAACGATGCTCGATCGGATGATGAGGTGTCCTTGGTGTGTCCTGTTGGCCCACAGTTACTAGGCAGACAGTCTAAACTCTCGGTGTAGAAACGATGTGTGTGTCCTCTCTCTGAAAGCGCATTAAGTAAGAATTCAATTACAAATATTTGTTTATTTTTATTTTATTTCCAAAAAAAACAACTCTTATATTGTACTATCTATTATGAACAACTGTTATCGCTTAAGTTCTGTGCCGCGTGCAGCTTGGAAACGGAGTGTTTGAATGTTCCTGCCGGCCGGCCTCTCCCATCAATCGGTCGATCCTTCAACCCATAGGCAGGAGCAATTCGCAGGGCAACTGAGTGAGAGAAGAGGATGAGGATGAGGGCAACTTGTGTGAGATGAGATACTGAGATACTGGGACTAAGGGCGGACTTGGTTAGGAACCTGGATCTGGACTCCGGCCTTAAAACATTTCCAAACGCTTCCCCGGCTGCACGCGATGTCCTTTGAGTTGCGAGACGATGCTTTTATTCTATGCTAAAACCTAAACTTTACTAATTTTGGCTCTTTCTTCTCGACTTTGTGCGTCCTCTGCAGGATCTGAAAGACTACATGCGCCAGGCTGGCGAGGTCACCTATGCCGATGCCCATAAGCAGCGTCGCAATGAAGGGTAAGTTCTTAAGAAATAAAATGTGAGTTTATATAAAATAATTGTGGTTTTCTGCAGCGTTGTGGAGTTTGCCTCGTTGTCAGACATGAAGACTGCTATTGAAAAGCTGGACGATACCGAGCTCAATGGCAGGCGCATCCACTTGGTGGAGGATCGTCGCGGCGGACGCAGCGGTGCTGGAGGCGGCAGCGGACGTGGTCGCTCCCGTTCGTCGAGCTCGCGTTCGCGATCTCGCTCCCGCAGGCGGTCCCGCTCCCGTCGCTCTTCTCACTCGCGCTCCAAGTCGCGCAGTCGCTCCAAGTCCCGCACTGGACGCTCCAAGTCCAAGTCGCCGGTTAAGTCGCGTTCCCGTTCACGCTCGCGTTCCAAGTAAGTAATCCCTAGACTGCTTCTTGCTTTATCGTCTTACTAATCGAATATTTCTCCTCATTTTCACAGCAAATCGCGCGACGTTTCCAAGTCCAAGTCGAAGACCCACTCGCGCACCCGTTCCCGCTCTCCAAAGCGTGAGCGTGACACCCGTTCCCGATCACGCTCCGCTTCAAAGCGTGAGTCTCGCTCCCGTTCCCGTTCCAAGTCGAATCGCCGGGACTCCCGCTCACGGTAAGTCATGTGGTGGCATTAGCAACGCTTTAGATAGTTCACGGTTCTTTCTTTCGTGCCTTCTTTGGTTTTGTTTGGATGCACACATCTGTTTGTAGGCCACCAGTAGTGGTTGTCCAAAAGCTTGTACTATAGGAATAACAATATCCTTTTCTTGCAGCGACCGATCCGCCTCAGCTGACAACAAGTCCCGCTCGCGTTCACGTTCCCGCTCGGCCTCGCCCAAAAACGGAAATGCCTCGCCGGATCGCACCAACGAGAGCATGGACGATTAGATTAGTTAGTTCTCCCAATTAATTTTAAAGCACTTGATTTTAGACTTCTACTTTACTACAAACCATTAATACACACACCGACACCACCACTGACCCCTGCAGACTTTTCACAAAAAACACACAAAACAACAAAAAAAAAAAAGGAAGAAAAATACTGAAAACATGAAACAACTTCACAATTAGGTGTCGACATTAATTGTATATTATTTTAAAAACTTGGATCATCTTGTCTGCATCGACAAGTCTGGCATATATCCCACACGCTGGGTGAAATCTTAAAAAAAAAAAACAAAGAAAAACAATCTATGATGGATTCGTTTTGGCCGATTCAGTAGAATCTGCGAAGTACTGCGACTTGTGCAACAGGGAACACTTAAAATTGTCTATATAATTAACTTCAATAAATACGATAAAGTTAAATAAAGATTGAGTTTATTTTTTAAATGGATGGGGCTATGAGAAGAAAATAAGAGAGATAACATTTGAATCGTATATAAATTTAGTTGGTTTTATTTTTTTGTAATTTCGAAATATAAGTATATTACAAAGTCTTATTTTACCTATTTTGCATTATTTTCCTGAATAAAAATACTATGAATTTCAAGAATTCCAGTGTGTTTGTTGTTTTCTCAACCACTTGGCGCAAATTTTAATTATAGATATTTAAAATTTGGAAAATAATTATCATTCTAAAATCGTAGAAGTTGGTAAATTAAATACATAACTAAGTTTTTCAACTGACATAGTTTCGGTTTGAACAATACATATTGTTATTTAAAGTAATTACTTTTATTAATTTAAATACATATACTATTTATATACAAAGCACATAAGGATAAAGGAGTTCTTTTTTTTTTGTTTAAGCGTTTAACGTCTCGAGTGAGCAATGGGTTTTGAGTTTTCGGGGGAAAATGCATCGACTTGTAAAATGTTGTAAAATCTATTTAAATTTTAAATGCAAATGCCGCAAAATAATATCCGTGGAATGGATTAATGATGCAATAAGTGTTGGGAATTCGGTTCGTCATTATCTACATCTATAACTAAATGCATTCTTTGCATAAATGCGACTGGGGGGAAGGTCTTGGGGGACTTACGTATGGCTTTAAGATATTTAATTTTTTTTTGTCGCACATACGAATGAGATATTTTGGCACATTGCGGAGTCACAGGAGTACTGGAACTGCCTGAAATATGTATCTATTTGGGCTTCTAGCTACGTTTTTGACACTTGGGTAGATCGAGCTGGAGATGTCGCCTTTCAGCGCGACTATACTAACTACAATATGCGCACCGTAATCGTAAACTAATATCAAGTTTTTAAATATTACGTAATCATAATAAGTCGGAATAAAATGGATTTTAAACATTATCTACCATTTATCGGCTATAGAATATTTACAGCATTTATTCTTAAAATACAACTACATTTATACGGTTTTGATCCAAAATATTTAAATAAAAATAATTTTAATGAAAATTTGTAAATAATAATACGTATAAATAATGTTCAGATACATTTCGAAAATGTGTTTTCAACCTAATAACTGATAAAAATGTTATGGATTTTTTAAGAAAAAAGTATCAGTTTATATATTGGTTGAGTGGCTTTCTCTAAAAGTTTTAGGTCTTTCTATTATGAGATTTTCTGAATGAAATTAGATATTAAAATAGTTAGAGGACTAGTGAGCTTTGCCGTTCCATACGGTGACCCGGTTTTAGGGTCAATCGCTCGGAAATGGCAGTGGTTTACATTCAATTGTATAGGTTTAGTCTCTATCATGTCCACTAAATGTATAGATTTACGCACTATGCTCTAATTCACATTGTAAATGCACACAAATAGCATCCTGGGGGACATTATCGAATCATCCATCCACCCGATGGATCCATCGTGTACTACATTCAGCCGGAGAATCTAAATTAGTATTTAATTACTATTAGAGCCTTGTTATCACTTTCGATTTGTAAGTCGTTTTTTTTTTTGGGCGAGAGCAGCTGCTCCACTGCTTCACGGGATGGACAGCCACTTCGTTGTTTCAGCCGAACCGCCAGTTTCCTGATCCTGAGCCCGTCGTCTCTCATCCTAGATGCGGAAGGACAAAAGCGAGACATTACGCTTCAGTAGTTTGTGTGGTCGGAGCGGAGACCCGTGGGTGGTTGAGTCCACCATGTCCACACCCATGTAGCTGCTGTCTACGGTTCCTCGATCAGCCAGGGTGTGCATGCTCTGGGTATCGTAGTCGTAGTTTAGGTCCTGCATGGGCACCACCTCCGGCAGCAGATGCCGGATGTGCGTGGGCGATCGACGCAGCTTGTATTGGTTTCTGTAAGGATATTAAAATCATTATAAAGTTCATGTTTATTTTTTAGTAGAACTAATATCTTTAAAGCCATTTAAGCTTACTCTGCATCATTGTTGCGTCCAAAGTGGTTTTCTCTGCAAAATTTTTAAGTAAAATAATTGAATTTTTGGTTGCATCGATCTTATGAAGCAGGATTAGGAATGGACCAATCTGGCATTTATTTATTAAGCCTTAAAGCTTACGAGCTGGTATATTTTCCTATAAAAAATAATAAACAAATAATTATAATGAAATTAAGAATAAAACAAGAAGAAAAGGTAGCTTCGGTCGGAGACGAATATATAGACGAATATACCCATGCGGTTAAGATTGGATATAGTATGAAGATCCTTATTAATTCTCATTGTATGGGATCCCTTGGAAATGAGGTTTTCCCCTATATGGCCCACAGTGATGGCTATATCTTCCCCAATTCTCATCCGATTCTCACGCGGAGTATCTTAAACGATTTCTAGATTGATTCTCCATCACTTTGCATCAAAATCCTGAGACAAAATATTTTTTAGATTTTTTGTCCATTTTTCGTGATGAGATCCCTTGAAAATGAGGTTTTCCCCAATAGGGTCCACAGTGATGGCTATATCTTCCCCAATTCTCATCCGATTCTAAAGCGGAGTACTTTAAACGATTTCTAGATTGATTCTCCATCACTTTGCATCAAAATCCTGAGACAAAATATTTTTTAGATTTTGTGTCTATTTTTCGTGATGGGATCCTTTGAAAATGGGGTTTTCCCCTATATGGCCCACAGTGATGGCTATATCTTCCCCAATTCTCATCCGATTCTCAAGCGGAGTATCTTAAACGATTTCTAGATCGATTCTCCATCATTCTGCATCAAAATCCTGAGACAAAATATTTTTTAGATTTTTTGTCCATTTTCCTGGTGGAATCCCTTAAAAATGGGGTTTTCCCCTATATGGCCCACAGTGATGGCTATATCTTTCCCAATTCTCATCCGATTATCAAGCGGAGTATCTTAAACGATTTCTAGATCGATTCTCCAGCATTCTGCATCAAAATCCTGAGACAAAATATTTTTTAGATTTTTTGTCCCTTTTCCTGGTGGAATCCCTTGAAAATGGGGTTTTCCCCTATATGGCCCACAGTGATGGCTATATCTTCCCCAATTCTCATCCGATTCTAAAGCCGAGTACCTTAAACGATTTCTAGATCGATTCTCCATCATATTGCATCAAAATCCTGAGACAAAAGATTTTTTAGATTTTTTGTCCATTTTTCGTGATGAGATCCCTTGGAAATGAGGTTTTCCCCTATAGGGTCCACTGTGATGGCTATATCTTCCCCAATTCTCATCCGATTCTAAAGCGGAGTACCTTAAACGATTTCTAGATCGATTCTCCATCATATTGCATCAAAATCCTGAGACAAAAGATTTTTTAGATTTTTTGTCCATTTTTCATGATGAGATCCCTTGGAAATGAGGTTTTCCCCTATATGGCCCACAGTGATGGCTATATCTTCCCCAATTCTCATCCGATTCTCACGCGGAGTATCTTAAAGGATTTCTAGACCGATTCTCCATCATTCTGCATCAAAATCCTGAGACAAAATATTTTTTAGATTTTTTGTCCCTTTTCCTGGTGGAATCCCTTAAAAATGGGGTTTTCCCCTATATGGCCCACAGTGATGGCTATATCTTTCCCAATTCTCATCCGATTCTCACGCGGAGTATCTTAAACGATTTCTAGATCGATTCTCCATCATATTGCATCAAAATCCTGAGACAAAAGATTTTTTAGATTTTTTGTCCATTTTTCGTGATGAGATCCCTTGGAAATGAGGTTTTCCCCTATATGGCCCACAGTGATGGCTATATCTTCCCCAATTCTCATCCGATTCTCACGCGGAGTATCTTAAAGGATTTCTAGACCGATTCTCCATCATTCTGCATCAAAATCCTGAGACAAAATATTTTTTAGATTTTTTGTCCATTTTCCTGGTGGAATCCCTTAAAAATGGGGTTTTCCCCTATATGGCCCACAGTGATGGCTATATCTTTCCCAATTCTCATCCGATTCTCACGCGGAGTATCTTAAACGATTTCTAGATCGATTCTCCATCATATTGCATCAAAATACTGAGACAAAATATTTTTTAGATTTTTTGTCCATTTTTCGTGATGAGATCCCTTGAAAATGAGGTTTTCCCCAATAGGGTCCACAGTGATGGCTGTATCTTCCCCAATTCTCATCCGATTCTAAAGCGGAGTACTTTAAACGATTTCTAGATTGATTCTCCATCACTTTGCATCAAAATCCTGAGACAAAATATTTTTTAGATTTTGTGTCTATTTTCCTGGTGGAATCCCTTAAAAATGCGGTTTTCCCCTATATGGCCCACAGTGATGGCTATATCTTCCCCAATTCTCATCCGATTCTAAAGCGGAGTACTTTAAACGATTTCTAGATCGATTCTCCACCATTTTGCATCAAAATCCTGAGACAAAATATTTTTTAGATTTTTTGTCCATTTTCCTGGTGGAATCCCTTAAAAAAGGGTTTTCTCCTACATGGCCCACAGTGATTGCTATATCTTCCCCAATTCTCATCCGATTCTCACGCGGAGTATCTTAAAGGATTTCTAGACCGATTCTCCATCATTCTGCATCAAAATCCTGAGACAAAATATTTTTTAGATTTTTTGTCCATTTTCCTGGTGGAATCCCTTAAAAATGGGGGTTCCCCTATATGGCCCACAGTGATGGCTATATCTTTCCCAATTCTCATCCGATTATCAAGCGGAGTATCTTAAACGATTTCTAGATCGATTCTCCAGCATTCTGCATCAAAATCCTGAGACAAAATATTTTTTAGATTTTTTGTCCCTTTTCCTGGTGGAATCCCTTGAAAATGGGGTTTTCCCCTATATGGCCCACAGTGATGGCTATATCTTCCCCAATTCTCATCCGATTCTAAAGCGGAGTACCTTAAACGATTTCTAGATCGATTCTCCATCATATTGCATCAAAATCCTGAGACAAAAGATTTTTTAGATTTTTTGTCCATTTTTCGTGATGAGATCCCTTGGAAATGAGGTTTTCCCCTATAGGATCCACTGTGATGGCTACATCTTCCCCAATTCTCATCCGATTCTAAAGCGGAGTACCTTAAACGATTTCTAGATTGATTCTTCATCATTCTGCATCAAAATCCTGAGACAAAATATTTTTTAGATTTTTTGTCCATTTTTCGTGATGAGATCCCTTGGAAATGAGGTTTTCCCCTATAGGGTCCACTGTGATGGCTATATCTTCCCCAATTCTCATCCGATTCTAAAGCGGAGTACCTTAAACGATTTCTAGATCGATTCTCCATCATTCTGCATCAAAATCCTGAGACAAAATATTTTTTAGATTTTTTGTCCATTTTTCGTGATGAGATCCCTTGGAAATGAGGTTTTCCCCTATAGGGTCCACTGTGATGGCTATATCTTCCCCAATTCTCATCCGATTCTCACGCGGAGTATCTTAAAGGATTTCTAGACCGATTCTCCATCATTCTGCATCAAAATCCTGAGACAAAATATTTTTTAGATTTTTTGTCCATTTTCCTGGTGGAATCCCTTAAAAATGCGGTTTTCCCCTATATGGCCCACAGTGATGGCTATATCTTCCCCAATTCTCATCCGATTCTAAAGCGGAGTACTTTAAACGATTTCTAGATCGATTCTCCACCATTTTGCATCAAAATCCTGAGACAAAATATTTTTTAGATTTTTTGTCCATTTTCCTGGTGGAATCCCTTAAAAAAGGGTTTTCTCCTACATGGCCCACAGTGATTGCTATATCTTCCCCAGACAGAGAAACATGTTTATATCAACTCAGGTGAGGCTGATCATTATTATATAGTTTGTATGGTCGGAGATGTCTTCTTCACTCCAAAATGATAATACCCTTTGCAAGGGTATAAACATAATATTTCTAAAATAATTAACTAACAAATCCCATTTAAATACAAAATTGAAAAGAAAAATGTAAACTTTTAGATAAATACATTTCAAGCAGGGTTATGACACCCAGCTTAATGAAAAAGGAAAAGATTAAAGGTCATCCCGCAAAGTGGAAGGTCAAAGGGCTTTCGAGAGCACTCAGACAGTGTGGAGCACCCGCATTATGGGTGGCAAGTTAACTGAATGCCCCCTTATCCACTCTCCCATATCATATGGCTAAAAAGTGCACCGTAAATTGGCCTATTCCTAAGCCTCTTCCTAATCATCCGATGTGGAATATGGCCCGGTGCGATTACATACTTTTTATGTCGGTTCCCATTAAGACACATGCAGTGGCACGAGCACATGGACGAGGTGTTGGTGCCGTTCAGCGACTGGCCGTCGTGTCCCTCGTAGCCGCTCAGAATGGATCCGTTGGATGTTATCACATCGCCCTCCAGCTTCACAGCCACTTGCAGCGCCTGCAACGGGGTGTCAACGTTAATTACCGTCATTTTCAAGGGGTATGCAAATTCCGAGTGGGTTGAGTACGAGTTTATAGCGTTGAAAGCTGAGGAATTGTGTTCGTGTGACAGACTGGTGGATGGATGGGTGTGGGTGCTGGCTTTCTTTTTCGTTTCTTTGTGGCTTAGAAGTGTGGTTGAGAAACCAGGTGGTAAAGTACAGTTTGTGTTTTGGATTATAAGTATTTGAGTCAAGAATATTGAAATCTGAAAAACCGCAATCACCTCATTGGTCCATAAACTGGACTTGGACATAAACTAAGCTCGCGTTTTGCATTTGATTCATTTCGTATACGTTTTCGTTTCGTAAAGTCAAAAGCAACCGAAAAAATGCCGAAAAAAGAAAACATATTATATATTTATTTCGATTTAAATTGAGTTGGTCTCGCATTGGGCCTGCATTGAATAAATTTTATAAATTAATTGGTTCAAAACATTGGTATAATATCGTAAAAATATCGAAAATAGAAACCGAAGGTGCAATATTAAGAATTAGCCATTAGGGTGCAGCAAAATAGCAAGCAGATTTTATTAAAAACTATAGGATTTTATGAGACAGATGGAAGCTATTCGAGATTAGATTACAAAAAATAGATTACAAAATCGTAGTAATAATATTATGGAATCTATATTATGTTAAAGTGGAGCGTTGGAATTAGGATAAACGGTAGATAAAAGCGGTTGACTAGCAAAGGGGGAAGCTTAGTCGCAGCGAGTTCTGATATTCGTACGAAGTGGCATACACTTAAAAAAAAGGTCAAAAGAGTCCTCAAGTCTACAGTAATAAATGGCATGATTTGCTCGAAATACTTCTCGCTCCAGGTCGGTGAACTCACCTGCATGGCCTGGGCTTCGTCGCGACGCTCGTCCTCGGTATTCATTGTAACAAACCTAAGTACTAACAAGTTCAGCGATGCGGCCACAATGGCCAGGCCGAATAGTATAAATATCAGTGCGAACATCACGTATTCGGGCTTCCTATTCAGTGCGTTGTCCCTTTGCAGGGCTACCATGTCGCCAAATCCTGAAAAATATTAAAAAGTTGCAGTTTCTTCTTAATTGAAATGCTATAAAGCCCACCTATTGTAGTTAAAGTAATAAAACAGTAATATACTGAATCAAAGTAGCTCCAACCCTCAAATCTCGAAAAGGCCGCAGCTCCGCCGGCTATCGTCAGCGAACTGAGTGTGGTCACAACACAGATGAGGTCCACCTCAGAGGCGACGGTCCGTTTGCAGCGCAGCGAGGAGCGCACCGCTTTGATAACATAGCTGCACAAAAAGGATATTAAAATCAACTCCCAACTATTTATATTCAAAAAACTGACCTGCTCAGTCTATTCACTCTTTCTCCGATGCTCTGGAACATAACGAGGCCCAGGGGAATCCCCACTATGGCATAGCACATGGTGAAGAGCTTCCCGCCCACTGTGCTGGGGGTGGAGTGTCCATAGCCTGTAATAATAACCGGCATATGATTATTCATTGTCCTTTTTATTAACGTTTGAAGGACTTACCGATGGTGGTTAGTACCGTGGTTGCATAATAAAATGCACCAGTGAACTTCCACTGCTGGCCGGCCTTGTGCGATTCCGATTTGAGCACCACAGTCTCCATGACTTTGAAGTCCTCCTGCGAGATATTGTATTTGCGTATTATCATGTCCTCGGCATCTGCAAGTGGTAGAATAATTTTTTGTTTTGTGACATAACACACAGGATTCTTGGATTCAGGAGGTGGTTAGTTTTCTCACTTGTGTACATTCCAATTTTTATTTATATGAAAAATGATAATCTTTTTATTGTTTAAAAGTATAAAAATTTTAATATTTTTAAGAAAACTCTTAAAAAAATGCAATTTTAAAAGTACAAGCACAAAGCCACCATTATAACGCTGAAAAGTATGCTATACATTTTGTTCACTGTACAGCTTTTGCACTCACCTTGCAGTGCCTCCCAGCGACGCTTTTCCGTTTCCGATTCGAGGGCGTCAAAGACAGCGGCCCCGACTAGCAAGTAGGTAAATGTACACACGATCAAGGATATCGTGCGCACATTTTGTTTCTTCATTCTTCATTTAGGCGAGTATGTGGTCGTTGATTGATGGATGCGGATGCAGCATTTAGTGGCGTCGCCTCCGCTTGTGGTACACTTTTCTCAACTGCTGCTCCCGACTGCAGGTGCTCACCTGGTCGCCGTCATCCATATGTCCTTTGTGACTATTCTGCCCACCTTTTCGCCTCTTGCCGCTTTCCCCGTATCAAAGGACAAACTTATCAAATTGGGTTAAGCACACTCTCTAGCTCTGTTCGGTCGAATATATATGTATATAGTTTGTAGTCTCTGCCTTTTTGGCAAACTCACTTAGCACTTTGATTTCATTAAAAATAATATCACTCGGGGGTGGCGTGGGGTTTCTGGCTAAAGTTAGCCAGCTAGCTGCGAGGGAGGAGGTGGTGGCGTTTATTTCTGTTGCAGAAGCACTCGCAGTCACAGGCCGTGGGCCTTTGTCCTCGTCGCGTGCGTTGTGCCGTCCATGTCCTTGCGTTATTTGTGCTTCCACTGCTCTTGCTGCTTGCTGCCATTCTGCACTTGCAGTTCCAATTTCAGTTTCACTTCTTCATAGCTGGCGGGCGACGGGTCTCCCAAGGATTCTGCTGATGCTGGTGCTGGTGCTGATGCTGCTTCTGGCTGTTGTAGCTGCCAGTGACGTGCTGCATCGCAGCAAAACTGAATAATTCATCCGAGAAAACTATTTCCGAGTGAGGCTGTTGATGTGGCGGTGTCCTTCGGCTTCCTGCGTGGAATGGCTTGAATTAGGTTCAACGGCTAGTCTATAAATAGCGCTGCAACTCTAATCTGTCATCATCAATATTGGCTCGTTACTGCATTTTGTACTTTGTCTCACCTTGTGTACATATTAAGTACACTACTGCACTTAAAAAAAAAGGATTTAATTCTTATTTGTGCTAGATTTTATTCAAAGGGGGTTTTTTAGTTTCTAATTTTTTATATGTTGAAAAATAAATTTAGTTCTCTGAGTATGAAAAGTATCCTTTTCAAACCAAGCTTATTGATAGGTAAATGGGTTATCGTTTGTTTTTCCTAATGCATGTTTGAAAATATTGAACTTGACTATCATTTATTATGTTTCTACATTTTAAAATTTGTAAAAGATTTATGAGAATCTTTTAATTCTTTCTTCAAAAACAAAGAAATCAACTACAAGCTTTTTGATTTTAGGATGCTGGGTTAGGATAATTTTGACTTTATTTTTTGTGTACGCCACACAAACATGGAAATGAAAAATTCATTTGCATGTGTCCTTCGGCAGGATTTGTGGACACACTGGAAAAACTGACAACGTGTGAAGCGCAATCTCAGCTGTAATTGTTGAATAATTCAGCAAACATACAGGATAATGAGACGCCGAAAAATGAAAGCTCCTCCAAGGAGTAAGGATATGTGTATGGGTATGTGTGACTGTGTGTGTGTGTGTGGCCATCTAACGGCATTTTATTGATGAACAATGAGGCAGCATTGCAGTGTCTCTGAATTATTCACGTGTATGTGTGTGAGAAGTCCAAAGCGCGTTGAAGCGTACGCATACACATACACACATTGTACACTCACGCACAAGGAACAAGGACCGCCAGAGAGACATGCTTTTTTTTTAATTTATCGAGTGTAGCCAAAAATGTGGGGTTTGTTGGGGTGGTTTTTTCCCAGCAAAAGGATGCCCGCCCTTAGTTAACTTTTTTGTTAGTTTCCATTTCAAGCAAGGAGTAGACTTGCGATTTTCCCGCATTGTTTGTTGTGCTATTTGGGAACAGCATCCCCGCTGGATTCTGTCTCTTCATGCACTGGCAATGACAGTGACACTATCAAGAGAAACCTGCCTGCCAGCCTGCCTGCCCGTCCCTCATATATCTTTCGGGGAAAAAAAGAAGAATTTCTTCCATTATGTAAAGCACGCACGCACACTCAAGCACATACACAACATCCCGTATCCTTTCGGACGTAATTTGCAGGCGTAATTTTCCACCACAGATCCTTTGATTTGTCACTCTAATTACACGAAAATGCTGCCGCGGCCCACCATTTTTTTTCACTACAGTAATTTGGCTCCTTGTGGGTCCTAGTTATGTCGCCAGCGAATAAGGATAACTCACTTTCGCGTCCCATCCGCAATGCACGCGCTCTCGACGGACAGTAAACGTAAAAGCGTAAGCTCTGCTCCGGCGCACAAACTGACAGTCGGCTGCTGGATGGATCCTGTTTCCTCTGTCTTCACTTCGTCCTTTGCCGCCTCTCCCCCAAAAGTTCCTGGGCAGCAAGAGCGGGTAGCAGCCTCCGACGCGGGTAAAATTCCGTTGGGCTCTGTTGCTCCTGAGCTTTTGGCAGGATGTTAAAAAGGTACTGTTAAGCGCAATGTTTGAAATAAACTTATGCTTGGTTGTATTTCTTTAAGAAAGAAATCATAAAATTTAAGAAAACAATATGATAATTTATTAAATTTCTTAAAATACAAGAAAGAACGGTAATTTAGGGTGGAGACAATGTTTATTTTCCCTTGCAATTAAGTGGCAGTTTATGTTATAAGATTATGTCCCATTGAATATAGATGCATAGATATAGATAACAGAATATTAATAAAACAATGATTTTCTTAAATATAACAAAATTACAACAACCAAAACGTACATCAAACAATTACAAACAACAAAAACACAAAAGAAAAAAAAACGACAAAATTTTAAAAAATTAAAAAAAGTAATAATTCCAATTATTTTAGCCCGCTTAAGTAACCCCCATGAGAATCGAGGAGGAGAGCACTTTTTATAAATTAATTAATTTAAAAAAATTTTTAAAAATTGTTACCAAATTAAAGCATTTTCTCAAATGCCATCATACGCAAAAAAACGGTATAAATTCACTCTTCATTAGTACTAGACTCTTTGGCGCCCTTTTAAAAAAAGCTATAATTTATAACTAAAAAAAAAAATTTTCATAATTTCTTTTAGAAATATTTAGTTGCTTTACAAGATTCGTAAGCGTATATGATTTTAAAACATGTTGCAATCATAGTTTAGAAAATTAGAATTAGATTATAACGAATTTATTTATAATTTAGATTATATTTTATAAAGATTTTTTAAATAAAACTTTATTGTTATTAGTTTTTCCCACAAATAATCTGTAAACTTATGTAAAAAATTCTAGTAGTCTTTTATTATTAGTATTCATATTGTTATATAAAAAACACTTTTATACAGAAATTAATTTGTTAAAAATTCGAATAGGATTGTTCTTTTTTTGTTAAGTTCCATTTAAAATAGGGATTAATAAAGTTCTTGGTTATTTTACTTGAAGTAAAACCATTTATTTTTATTAAAAAAGAATTCGTTCGCATTTCAAATTGTCAAATAGGATTCAGTCTCTCGCCTTGACTCTAAAATGCTGCTCCTTGGCACACTGACCTGGCTGTCAGCTACACACCGTGACTCCAACCAAATTGACCTGGAAATGCATTTAAAAACAGTCTACCTAACTAAAAATCAATGTTCAACAATTTAGACCAACATTTTTGGGTCAAGCGGTCAGTATGATAATTAAGAGTCATCCATGGATTCGGGCGGCAAGACGATGTTGCAGCCTAACAGTCCGCGACCGCTCCAGGTCTTTGGTACCAAAATCAGGTCCAGCTGCTGTTCACCACGCTTCACTTTCAGTTCAACGTTTTGATTCTGCATGTGTCGAACCAACTCGCCAATCTGGGCGAGATCTCCCTTGAAGTTATTACTGTTTATTGAGCCAAAACGCAGGATGCCATCGCCCTCACGAAGTCCCTGAAACCGGATATTTAAATTAGATGGTTTACCTATATGAGGGATACTATGCTATATGATATTTACAGCTTCTTCTGCAGGGGAATATGGGCTGACTAGGTTCACCAGAACGATGGAACGAACTGGCGCGAAACTTGTTAAATTAGCTCCGGCCTTAGACCGGTCATCATCATCCAAGCCTAGGGCAGAGGCGCGATTCACCAGCTCGGGATCAGTGGTGGCTATTTCGCTGTGATATTGGTTGAGCAGGCTACTAATTTGGTTCATCAGTTCCTTGTGGTCGTTTTGCAGGCAAATGATGGTCTGGCGGGCCTGTCGAACCTGGTAGATATCGATGTCATTGCGTGGAAAGCCTTCCGCATCCACCAGTGGCCCGTTCATGCCCACATTGGCGTTCTGCATTGGAAGAAGCATATTATTATTTAGTTGCTTAACTGGGCAGGCCAAACGTTCTATACATTTAGCATACCCGAGGGTATGATGAATGCGCGACTTTACTTACGGCGACCAGAATGTTTCCGTTTTTGGCAATCTGTGCCTCCAACTGGGCCTTTGCATTCATCAGGCGTTCCAGGCGCTCCTTGGTGGTTATCCCTGCGGCCATGACTATGTGTTTGTTTGATCCGTACACGAGTTATTCAAATATATTATTTTGAATTTCAAGTTTTGTTTTGTCGCTTCTCTTCTCATTTACAAAAACAAATACAGCAACAGTCAAGTCTGTAGCCCTGGAATTAGTGGGACCAAGCTGCGTTTTTCATTAAATTGGACAACAGTCGCCTATTTGGAGAGACCGTACTGCGTTCCTACCACAAAAAATTGTTAAACAATTTTCGGAAAGAGAGTAAACACAGAAATTAACAAATTTATATGAAAAACGCAGTTGCACCCAGAGTTGGCTAAACCGAGAGAGCTATTACAAGACCCTAACTTGCAGATGGTACCTGTGTGTGATTGTGCAAGTTGACTGCCAAAAATTAGGAGATATTGCGAGATAAAGGCGTGTTTTTGGCGGAGGAGCAGGTGACCAGCGTTGCGATACGACTCCGCGATAGTTTTCACAATTTCGAGCCGCCGGATCCTCTCAAAAGCCGCCGAAGTACGATGTGAGCTGGTTGCTCGGGCGTTTATGCAATGTTCTAGCTCTCGCCGAGGCCACGGAGCAGCCGGAACAATATAGAATCGGAGGTGGAGGAGCGCCCCAAAGCAGCAGCAACCAGAGGCCCAGGCTGTCCAGATGACCGTACACACCATGGAGTATTCACAAGTCAAGGCAGCACATCATCACACCGGCGGAGGAGCTCAGCAGCTGGAGAATCACAAAGATCCTCTGGTCGATGAAGATCCCGACGAGATGACCGTAATGCTGGCCAATAAGAACTACCACTACGACACAAGCTCAGAGCTAGAGGAGGCTTTTGTTGAGCTCAAAGACGAGGAACCACCTGGGGCTGGAGGTGGTCTCTTTTACACCCAGGATGATCATGAGGAGCAGCCACATGCACAGGTCACCTGGCTCGACGATGATGAAATCGAGACACTTGACCGGGTGACCTTGGACATGGGCAACATGTTTTTTAATCGTGTCGACAGTCAGGACATCATTTATCAGCAAAAGAAGAAGAACATCAAGATGGTGGGCAAGTACATAATGGGCGATGTGCTGGGCGAGGGATCTTATGGCAAAGTGAAGGAGGCCATGAACTCTGAGAACCTCGTTCGACTGGCGGTCAAGATCCTAACAAAGAGAAAGCTGCGAAGAATTCCGAATGGAGAGCAGAATGTCACCCGCGAGATTCACCTGTTGAAGCAGCTGAAGCACGAAAACATAGTCGAGTTGGTGGACGTGCTCTACAACGAGGAGAAGCAAAAGATGTACCTTGTGATGGAGTACTGCGTGGGTGGGCTGCAGGAGATGGTGGACTACCAGGCGGACAAAAAAATGCCGCTCTTTCAGGCGCACGGCTATTTCCACCAGCTGGTTGATGGACTGGAGTATCTGCATAGCTGTCGGGTCATCCACAAGGACATCAAGCCCGGAAACCTGCTGCTTTCCCTGGATCAGACCTTGAAAATATCTGACTTTGGGGTGGCCGAGCAGCTGGACCTCTTTGCGCCAGATGACACCTGCACAACGGGCCAGGGTTCACCGGCCTTTCAACCTCCCGAGATAGCCAATGGACACGAAACCTTCGCCGGCTTCAAGGTTGACATTTGGAGCAGCGGAGTGACCCTGTAAGCTAAATCCCTCTGATCATATGCATCTCAAAACCTGAAATCCTCTTGATTTTTCTAGGTACAACTTGGCCACTGGACTGTATCCCTTTGAGGGCGACAACATATACCGCTTGCTGGAGAACATCGGACGTGGTCAGTGGGTGGCGCCAGAGTGGCTTTACGAGCTGGACGCTGACTTTGCCAGGCTTATCTTGGGCATGCTGCAGGCTGATCCCAGTAAACGTCTATCTCTCCAAGAGATTCGCAAGGACACGTGAGTTTAAACACATATATCCATGAAGCTCCGTAATAATCTATGCACTTCCTAGTTGGTTTATGTCCGCCCCGCCAGTGACCGGCCCACCGATACCCATTCCCCCGCTGAAGGGTGACAAGTACCGCAATTCCACGGTGCTCCCATACCTGGAAGCCTACCATTACGGCAGCGAGCAGGAAGATGTCTACTTCACCGAGCACGACGTCAACCGTGAGTATAAAGGATCTTCTCTTCCATGTCGCAGAAATCTAAACATTTCTGTTTCTTTTTGCAGAGGAGCTCGCCCGGCAAGCTGCAGCCGCCGCCTCCGAGATCCGATCCAAACAGTCAGCGGCAACTCTTGCCGCCTACCACGCCTACGAGCCGCCCACGACTAGTGCTGCAGCAGCCGCTGCCGCTGGTCATTCAATTAGCAACGGCAGCAGGGAGGAGGCTCCAGTAAAGAAGAAAGGATCGGCGCTGAAGAGACGCGCCAAGAAGCTGACTTCCTGCATCTCCGTGCGTAAACTGAGTCACTGCCGCACCTCGTAGGCGGATGGGAAGCTACTTCCCACTTCAAATAGCCGCTAAGAGTAATTCGAGTGTAATAACTTTGTTAACAAATTGTGAGCAACTTTTTGGTTTTGTTTTCCCGTTTTCCTTTTTTTTTCTTTTTGTCCTACATTCGCCAAGTATTTTGTATCCGATTAGAAACCAATTAGGTGCGCCAGGAACACCTCTTACCAGGAGCACCCGGCGGCGCCAACTCAAAGTTAGCTGGCTTGGGAGCTATCGACATGACAGCTAAAATATCCATGTGACAATACTGTGTATTATATGAAGATGAAATGAATGCGTAAATTAGTCGTTAATGAATGAATGTACTGAAGGCAGCGGTGGATCGCTGGAAGGGGAGGAGGAGCATGATGAATAGGAGGGAGGAGCAGCTCCTTATCCTGAGGAGATGGTGGGCAACTTCCCGCCCATTGATAACATGTTCAAATGAAATTGTTGTTGGCTTCGTTATATTCTAAATCACACACACATAATAACTGATGCGATTTTCAGGCGCCGTCAGTACAATAACTGCTGGTCAGTATTTGCAAAAGGCCTAGGTTGAGATTTTAATTTACAAACCACTGAATCGAAAATAAAAGAACCCATTAAAGATCAAATACAAACACTGCATTTAGTTTGCACACATCGCACACTCTACAATTCCACAATCCAGACTTTCCAATCCATCTCATCCATATCCACATATCCACATTGGCATCCACATTCACGCACACACAAAAGATTAGGCTAGCTAACTACGGCTGCTTATTCTAGTTCCACGATTTGCAATCGTGCCGTGGGATCCGGCTCGCTCCTATTCTCCGCCAACTCGCCCATGATAAACATCTGATGGTAGTGTCTCCCCAATGTAGAGAGCTTCCGCTGCATTAAATGCCGCAATGTGTCCACATACTGCGGCGGTACTCTGGCCAGCTGGGTGCTGGTATTGCGCCAGTGGAGACCATTGTTATCCACATGGAAAAGGGCCGGCGAGGGCACGTGATCCTTCAGGTAATTCCAGATGCACTCGCGCAGGAGCAAGGCAATCTAAATAAAAATTAAGCTATTAGGTATTTGGAATGCTTTAAAGGATCTACAAAGAACAAACCTCGGCTGATTCAAAGTGATCGATAATGATATGAAGGCTGGTAAGAGGTGGCGGGATCAGTTGGCTCATGGCCAAAAGTTGCAACAGCTTTTTTGTGCACAGCATAAGCTCGTCATTGGCAGAGGTGGGTTGGAACTTGTTGACTGAAAAATTAAGAATAGTTTTAAAGAAAAGAGAATTAAGATTTTACAGCCATTCTTACCATTCTTGCCCCGCCAATGATGCAAACAGGTGGCACACAGTGCTCTTAGGAGTACCGAAGAGTAACAAAGTGCAGGACGGTGGCCGGCGATTAGCCCCAGAACGGCCCACAAAACTGGCGAGGTGATGAATGCCCTTCGGATCTGCATATCCCGCTCCATTGTGACCTTGGTGAACTCTTCGTCCGGAAAGGGCAGACCATTGTACATGACATCCGTGGAAACAAGCTCGACCAAGAGGAGTGAAACCAGCGAGTAGCCTTCCACATTGTTTGGCTTTTCCAGATCCGCGCAGCAGGCATTCAGTGCCTTGAGATACAAGGCCTGTTTTTCAGCGTCGCAGCTTCGGTTGTTGTTGGGCAGAACAGGTCGCAGACCTCGGCCAATGATGCCGGAGTGCAGCACAGAACGATTCGAATTGGCGCCAGAACTGGTGTGCAGGTTTTGCAGAATGAGCAACTCCTGCTCCGGAATCTGCAGCTCATCCAGTTCGTACTCCTCCAGCTGACCCAGCAAATGGCCATGATAGAAGAGGGCTCCCTCCACCAACTCCCTTAGGCAAACAGTTCTGGCAATTTTTCTCGCGGAGCACTGACGCTGCAGCAATGAAAACGAACGATGCGAAGCTGCTGCTCGTCGGATGACAGCTATTAGGAGTTATATAAAGGTATATTAGTGATAGGTTAATGGCAAATGTAGATCAATACTCACTCTTTTCGGTGAGGCCTACAAAGAAATACTTGACGCTGAGCATGGCTAGTTTTAGAACCAGCGGCGTGCGCAGGACATTCGTTCGGCTGCCAGCTTCAATGTTGTTTAGCAAATCTACGATGAGATGCGCTAATCGCATGCGGGAGGCGTCTTCATCCTGCTCCTCCTCTACTTCCACCGGTTCCAGCTTGGGTCGCTTTCCGTATTCCTTTCCATTGTAGACGTGGTTATTGTTGTTGTTCGCTTGCTGCTCCTTAAACTTCAACGCACTTCTTTCCGCCGCATCCTTGTCCATCCTTAGAACCAACTTGTTGACCGTACAGTCAAAGATCTGTATAATCTTGGGAAGGCACTCGTTGAGGGCCTGGTTCAGCTGCGGAGCTTTTATATAGGGAGCCACATTTTTGCTCTTGTGCATTCTGAAAAAAGATCATGATATAATACAATATTTGAAATATATATTAGGAGCTCTCACTTGGCTAATATGTTGAGGTTGGAGAATGTATTAAACGCTTCGGTAGGCGTGCCGGGGGGTACTGGCAGCCGGTTGTTCACCTGGACATGCAGCGTGATGTCCTCGAGGACCATTTTAAAGCCCTGTGTGTAGCCGGGAAAATTCACCATGCCGCTTTGTCCACCCAGCAGTCGAATGAGTGCGCCAATTCCATTGGGATTTTGTCCATAGGATTTCCTCAGTAGCTGGGATATGGTCTGGTAGTAGATATGTGGGTGCTGGGAAGCTAAAAAGAGTATTATTTATATTTGAACTGCGTCTTATAACTAGGTGACACCTACAGACTACCAGAAGCAAGCGCACGGCTGTTTGCTGTTCAATGATATTAGGGCTGAGGCAACTTTTCCATAGCATGTACTTGGTTTCCTCGAATGCCAGGTCGGCTAGCAGAGGAAAGTTACGCTGATTCAGCACCCACTGCTCCAATTCCTGCAAAGAGTTGTCCAAAAAGTCCTGGCACCACACGAACCTCTCGGCCATTTTTGCGGCTGTGATTAGTAACGTAGCTCCGTGTTCGCTAAGCCGGAGAACGGCATTGTTCAAGGTGGGCTGCATGTCGGCAAACATCTTGTTGCTCAGCCAAAGGGGAGACTTTTGGACAATAACATCGCACATTTCTTCAGAATCTGGAGAGTACAAGCAAAGTGAGAAAATGCTTACGATTAGATGACCCTACTTACAAATCTCTACCAGAACATTGACCAAACTCTGCAGAATCGCATCCGAGTAGTTGGTGGTGATAAGCAGGAAAGGCACAACCGCCACATCTAGTGGCTTTTTGGGTGCAAAACCCTCGCGCAACATTTCTCGGAAGGCGGCTCGCAAATGCTGTTCGTGGCAGGACGTCATGTAGTCTAGAATCCCCGCTTCCGAGTCCAAGTGACATCGGTAGTCATCCACAAATCTTTTAATGCCGCACTGCAGGATCTGCATGATGATTTTGTATGGAAAACAGCCGCCGAGCCGAGCCACGATCCAGTCAAAGGTCATGGGGAAGCGGTGAAAGGCATTGAGCATAATCTCCACGCAGGCCTCCTCCTCCTGCTGGGTCAGTTTCCGGAAGCAGCTGTTGATGAGAGTCATAAGGCCATGCATGGCACTGCACTCCAGCCAGTAGTTGCAGCTCGCGGTGATGGTCATCCTCCGTTGGGTATACTTATCGGATAGCTTTGCCACAAGCTCCAGACTCCAGTTGGCTATCAGCGGGGGCCAGGCGGGTGGACCCTTCCAAACGAGACTTTGAAGCGCCGTTTTAACAATATTGAAGCTCTCATACTCCGCTGCTCGGAGCTGTTGCTGACGATTCCCGCCCTGTTTCACCTGGGAGATGGGCATACCGGTTTTTTGGTCCACCATCTCCGGTGACACATATAGCTGGACGCTGATTTCGGCCAGCAGGGCGAAGTACTCGAATACGATGTCGCGCGTGGCGGGCAGATCCTCCAGAAAGCTCAGCCTAAAAAATCCAAACCGAATTACTTGAGGGAACGACATGACCCTGCAATGCTACTCACGCGAGCTTGATGAGATTGGGACTCGTCAGCAGCTGGGGACTGCTGAGCCCTTTGCTAACCGTATCTATAAAATGCTTGAGCTGGTCCAATAGATTCTGCCGTAACATTTTTCCGGATTTTTCGGCACGTCGGCATTGGATGCAGGTAAACAAGGTAAACCAAAAAACAGGGCAAGTTTAAAAACGGAATCGTTATCGATTATCGGACTATCGATTGTATAGCGCGAAATTTCATATCTTATCAGGAGATGATAAAACTAAATGTTTTAATACATACATATACGTTTTAATGCTGTTATTTATTTAAACTTAAATTTTTAAGACAGTTTTGATTATTTCCAATTTATCTGGAGAATTATAAAACTCAAGGCTTATCTAAAATCTGGTGATAATCGATAATCTTAGAAATCCCAGAATCTCAAAAATAAAACTCATGACTGGTCAAATAAAACAACGTGTATTAAGTTGAAACAAAACAAAAATATAATACCAACGCTGAGAAAGAGACACTGCTCAACTCATTCGATTTTACATAGAACAACAACGAATTTTCACTTTAATGTATGGAATAATAATACAGCAGTGTTTCAGTAAAGTAACCACTATTATTACGGGGCTAAATTATGGATTAGAGTTTGAACGTGGACATCGAATTTAAAGTGCAGTGCGTCGCCACTTGGTTTTTTGGCTACACTTTACAAAAAATTTACTTTTGGTTGTAGTTCTTGTGGACCTCGGGCGAGATGTTGTAGACGTACTGCAGGATCTCCTGGATAACGGGTTCCTTGCGGGTCTGGATGGCCCTATCCATATCAGCCAGCTTCACACGGGTATCGGCATCGATCTTGGCAGCAACACCCTCCCGGCTGCCCATGTGCTGTAAGGGAAAAATTTTACAATTAGTGGATTATAACAGAGAAGTAAAAGAATAATTAAAAATTAACTGAATAATTCGCAGATTCATTAATAAATAAAAAAGATACGATCTCAATTAATTTTTCCTTTTAAATTTGTTTGGATAGTTTAGGGCTTTGCTATTATTTTGGCCTTGAGTGTATAAAGATATTGGAGCTCGACCTACCTTGGCCTCGAATTCCTTGAAGGCGCGCTCACGCTCCTGACGGAACTTCTCGATCTCCTCGGTCGCCTCGTCCTTGGCTTGCTTCAATCTCCTTGCCTTGCCTTTGGGAACAGAAAAAAGATCACAAGTTAGTTAAACTCCAGGTATTTACTTTTTTTCCACCACATCATGTGACCCCACATAACGTCGATAGAGGGGCGGGTGGTGACCAAAGAAGGTGGTGAAAAAACCGATTTGCTATTTCTTCCAATTGGAACGAAAGTAATTCCAATAAATATAACGAAACTTACGTTTACGGGCCTCGGCGACCTTCTCGGCTGCCTTTTTCTCGGCAGCCAACAGCTGCTGGATTCCCTGCGTTTGGCTGGCCATATTTTTTTTTTTAACTAATACGCCGTGGTGTACTGTGCAAGTCGAAAAAAGCAAGTGACGACGGGGAATTAATATCAACGAATGTGAAAATTGTCATATGACGACTCACACAGACACGCAAACTCACCACGGTGCAGGCGAGGTGGTGTGCGTCTGAATCGATAGTTTGCCAACTATCGAGCAGCGTCCAATTTCTATCGTGAACATCAGCTGGTTTGTAATAACCAACCAATTGGCGGGAATATCAGCTTACCTTTGGTACCAACCCTTTATCAACGAAAAATGAATACCTTTTCTTCAATAAGTTTACCTTGTGCCAAAGCTTAAGTAAAATACTTTTCTATCGGATTCAAGTCAACGGATTACCATCCATTTAGTTGTCACCACATGATGGCGCTGTGGAACTGTTGATTTTTATCGATATTCGATTGCTTACCTCACACACACCTCTAGTCGAACGCTCATTCTACAGTTTCCCTTTTTACAATTTCACAATTTCATTGAAAGAATAGTAAATTATCCGTAAATTAGCAGTGAGAATAGCCGGGCCGTCTACCTAAAGATGTCCTTTTCGTTCACACCTACTACCAATGCAGGATTAGGAGGCGCAGCGCCAGCCGCAGGCGCTTTTAGTTTTGGCGCGCGACCAGCAACGACCACGGCTCCGCCGGCGTTTGGAGCAGCATCTGCCACCCCAGCATTTGGAGCTCCGGCTGCAGCACCCGCTTTTGGAGCAGCAGCGTCGGCCGCGCCAGCCTTTGGAGCAGCTACAACCGCACCAGCCTTTGGAGCAGCTACCACTGCACCAGCCTTTGGAGCTGCAGCGTCGGCCGCACCCGCGTTTGGAGCTGCTACAGCTGCGCCAGCGTTTGGAGCCGCTACAGCTGCACCAGCGTTTGGAGCTGCTACCTCGACGCCATCTTTTGGTGCCCCATCAGCTGCGGCACCCGCCTTTGGAACACCAGCTGCTACGCAAGCGCCAGCTTTCGGGGCCGCTGCACCCACGGCTACCGTGGCGCCCACGTTCTCCTTCGCCACACCAGCTACGACAGCTCCAACCACAGCCCCTCCAGCTTTTGGATTTGGTGCAACGGCAACCACGGCTGCAGCAGCTATGCCGGCAGCTTTAGGTACCGGAATTGGATCCTTTGCCTTTGGAAAGCCACAAACTACAACAGCGGCCAGTTTAAATTTCAGTACTACGACGACGACAGCCACGGCGCAGCCCTTCCAAACAGGTCTGAAACTAGGAGGAAGCACTTCCACGACGGCTCTCGGCACTGGCGGAATTTTCGGAAAGCCGGCCGCCCAAGCGGCTGCTCCAGCTCCTACAGCTTTCGTGGGATTGGGAGGTATTGATGTGAGCGCCACGCAACCCAAGTTGGGTGATAACAAGCAGGATGGTATCAAGATCAAGGAGACTCAAGTGCCCGATGAAATAGTCAAGACAGTAGACGCCCTGAAAGCCTACATAAAGCAGCAAAAGACTACATCTTCGGATATTGGTAGGACCTCCACGTCGAAGTTCACCAATGTGGCCCATGAGATTACCAACCTAAAGTGGGCCCTGCAGAATATGTCCAATTCGGTGGAGGGCAACAACCAGCAGATCCGGCTCTTGCGACAAGAAACGTCCAAGGCAATACAGTCCTTGGAAATGGCGCAACGCACGCAGGACACCCCGGCGGGCTTGCAGTTTGAGCACAGTGCTCCGTTCCAGTACTTCCAGTGCCTGGTGGCAAAGTATGAGCTGGATTTGGTCGCGTTCCGTCAGCAGATTGCCCTTACAGAGCGTCATATGCACGCCTTGTCCAATCCGCAGAGTATCTCCCCCGAGGATTTGAAGCGTGGTTTCCGGCAGCTCAACGAAAGCTTTATATCGCTGGCGGGGAGACTGCATGAGCTGCACCAGCGTGTGGAAGAGCAGAAAGAACACTATCTGAATCTGAGGCGCTACCGCTTAAGAGACGCCACCAACGTGTTTGAACGAATCGACAACCCGCCGCTGCCCTCCGCGGAACCGCAGAGAATAAGCAGCGGTCCGACGCCCTTTTCCAACATTTCGGCCATTAGTAGTCTGAACAAATCCTATGCAGCAGCTACGGCAGCCAACACGGCGGGTAATGCTGCCTCTAAATGAAATTTATAAGTGATTGTTTTCGAGTTTCAATAAAATCGTTATGTACAAGTGAGTCTAGGCTTTCGGGGTCGGTTATGATAGAATATATATTTCAGCTGCAACAATTATTACTTCTTCACCACCTGGATGACGTCCTCGTCGGCCATCACATGCGATATGCCGACGCGCTGTGGAGAGTACTTGGTGGAGGTGCCCCAAACCAGAGCGTACTTGAATTGCGCCGCCAGTGTGCGATGGATGGCGTGGCAAACGTGTTCCACACTGACGCCCTACGAAAATAATAATATTTTAATTATTTTTAGTTTAGTTTTCTGGTTTGGATCTGTACCTTTCTGAGAATAAGTCCATCGTCAAAGTCTGGCGGTGCTCCTGGCTTCTTTGTGTAGACCCTAATCAACTGTAGCGCCTCCCAGAGTGCCTCAAGCATGTAGTCCAGGTTTAGCTTCATGTTGCAACTAACAACAATGGAGTGCGGCTGGCGCGCCAGTCTGTCCACCTCCTCAATGGAAATCTGATCAATCTTGTTGTAGACATACAGACAGGGCAAATAAACGCGATTGGCGGTGACCACGTCGATGAACTCATCCTCGGTACAGTCCTCGCGGAAGAGGACCTCAGCGTTGAAGATCTTGAAGGAGTGCAGGATGGTCTGTACCATTTTCTCGTTGCAGCGTGTCAGTGAACAGGTGGAGTTGAAACTCAAGCCACCGCCCTTCTTCTGCTTAAAGTAAATGTTGGGCTTTCGCTTGTTTAACCGGATGCCCACAGATTCCAACTCCCGCTCCAGCAGCTCCCGGTGAACATTTGGCTTGGTGGCATCCAACATCATAAGAACCAAGTCGGCAGTTCGAGCCACGGCAATAACTTGTCGACCACGCCCTTTACCCTGGGCGGCACCCTCAATTATTCCGGGCAAATCCAATAGCTGTATATTGGCGCCCTGGTACTCGATCACGCCCGGAATGCAGGTCAATGTTGTGAATTCGTAGTTGGCTGGCGAAGATTAGAGTAGAATCTGGTTACAAATATTGAGCGTAGGATAGCCCTTCCAGGACTTACCTGCTTCTGATTCGGTCTTGGTCAAGGTGGACAACATAGTGGACTTTCCCACTGAGGGAAAACCAATCAAAGCCACCCTGGCATCACCACTTTTGAGGACATCGAATCCCTCGCCCTTCTCGCCCTTTTTCGACGGTTCCAGCAACTGGGAGCGGTATTTGGCCAATTTTGCCTTTAACAAGCCCAAATGGTACTCGGTGGCTGTGGGTTGGATTTAGACATTCATATTAAGTTTATATTTTTTTCAGATTCTAACCTAAATTCCGATGGCCAGCGCGGCGAATTCCCAAAGATGAAGTTGCTCACTTCTTGGGGATATTTGACTTACCTTTGTTTTTCTGGGTTCGGGCGATTTCTCGCTCGATTTCAGCAATTTTCTCGAGTATGCCCATGCTGCAGCTTGTTGTCTATGTTGTGGACCGGGCATGCAAAAATTAAAAACAAAAATTTGCTGATATTGTTGAATGCAAAGCTGTGTGCGTCAACCGGCGATTGTGCAGCCCTGAGATCAGCTGTTCCAAAACAGTGTTGCCAATTGAGCTTTTTTTAAGTATTGCTATGATACGGATCTGGCTTTTCCCGATTTAGAAATAAATTTAAATAAAAATAACATGATACAGTATGAAAATAAGAGTATGTATCCGTCTATTTCATTTAAATTAATAAAGTAGTCTTTTTGTCTCACTTTCCTTCATTCTTTTACACCATAAACCGTTACCGCTTCGTGGCGCGCTTTTTGAATTGGATTAGCTTTATTTGTCAAAAGAACTCGTAAAATATAAATAAATACGCACAGGTAAATACTGTTACAATTACAAGAAACCCCACAACACGTAAATGACGATAAATTACAATAGTGACTGTTGAGACAGAGACATCGAGAGAAAGGGATAGCACTAATGAAAGAAGGAACACCGGCTGAAAGATGGCCAAAAGGACCAAAAATCCTTCAGCTCCGTTTTGAACCTTCTTCTCATTCAGCGATTAGTATTAGTGATTGGCGTAGTAGCCGTGTCCGGAATTGCCCATAAATTCTGTCCACCGCTGCGATTCCAGCGGATCGAGCTCCGAACAGACCTCTCCGGGACGCAAAGATCTGCAGGAGCAGGTGATCCCGATGCGGGTCACCACCAATTGTGACTCATACTTAGGCAGGGCTGGCTCTGCATCCACCAGGCGCTCGCTGAGGCACTCCTTAAGGAACTGTTTGCGCAGAAGGCGCGAGCTATCGATGGTGAAGCCTGGAATGTTGAAAGCAGGATTAGGTTCAGCTCTTTCTTTTAAGGGATCCTTTTTAAAGTTTGACTTACTCTTATAGGCGCTAACTTTCTCCTCCACACAACTCAAGTCCTGAGGCGAGAATAGAGGCGGATAAGCCTCAGACTCGCGGATATTGAGCACAAAGGCAAAGTCTAGCGAGGAGCTGGCATTGCCTAGCGCCTTTAAAAGCACACCAGTGGATGAGATGGAAGCCAAGTACCAGTCTGACCCAGTTGACGTGTCGCCTCCCGATGTGACATCGTCTCCTGCGGTTGTGGTAGTGCTGGAGGCACTCGTTCCTCGTCGCTTTCGACGCCTTTTTTGCTTTTTGGCATCCGCATCCACCGCCTGCTCCCGCGCCTCGTTGTCTAGCTCCAGATCCCACAGGCTCAGTGGCGACTGGGCAGATATGGGCAGTTCGGTGGTGCTCGGCGATGCCTGTACGGTGGGCGTGCTACTGTTACTGCTGTCCAGGTCGCCACTTCTCACGTCACGATTCCCAGAACTAGGATACTTGGAGCGCAGATGGATGGGACGATCGCTCTGCTCCAGTAACGGCTGCACATCATCGTTGTACACCAGTTCGTATTCTTCGGGAACTCGAAGCTGATTTGTGTTCTCCTGCGGCAGCGGATCGTAGTCCTTCTGCAATGGATTCTTTGGGTTAGAACCCATCTTTTCTAAAAGGTTTCTTGTACTTACAAACTCCTTGGGATAACCAGCTCCCAATCCAAATGTTGGCAGTTCGTTTTCCGCTGCCTGGGGCAGTAGGTCCTGGAGCTGTTGCTCCATTAATGGATTGTGTCGATGGTGGGCTTTCGGTCGCCTGCCAGGCTGCTCTGTTCCGCTGTCACTTCCCAAGCCTGAGCTGGCGGCCACCTGGCGAAGCAGCTGCTCCCGATTTCCGGCCAACAGCTTTTTGAGCAATTTTGGATGCTTTAATGGTGACTTCTTTCCAGCTGCCGCCGGACGTATCGTGCGATTCAGTTGAACCTCCAAGTCATCAGTGCTGAAGAGCACCGCTCCGGGAGGCTCAATATGCCTGGCAATCCCGTAGAGCTTGAGGACCGTAGATTCGTTATATCGAAGACGACAGGTGTCGGCCCTAGCCTGTAGGATAATGTCGCTGTCGGGCACGAACTCGTATGCATCTCGGGCATCCATGCGATTTCGGCACTGAAGCTGCCAGTGCAGAAAGAAATCCCCTCCGAAAGTCTGTGAGATCGAGACTCCGCCCAGCAGGCTGTTGGCTCCACCCGCATCCGTCATTACCGAATTCAGGAGCGGCTTGCCAGTACTTCCGTCCAGGATTGTGGTCTGGGAGTAGTAGTATACAGGGAAGCCAGGTCCTGTGTTGTACTTCACCATGAAGTCCGTCACATTGTCGTGATTAAAATGGCCAGGAACTATGGCACTGACGCACTCACTGGCCGGGAATGTATAGTTCCACAGTCTAGTGTAATTGGCTCCATCGAACGCGATGATGCTTCTGTTAAAGGCAGCCACCACCACGTCGGATACGCCATCGCCATTGAGATCACTGAGCACGGCAGGCACCATTAGACCCGATCCTGTTTGGCGATAGAGGGGCGTGAAGTGCTTCTCACTTGTGTGCGCCATCAGCGAATGGAGTCGGAGGGAGTAGATGCCGCCGGGAGTGTTCTGGCCTCCGGTGAGTATCAGAAGCAGCTCCGTGCCATCCGCCTGGGTGACCAGTTGAATAGGCACGAACATCTCCTCGCGATAGGGCGTCGGAATGCTGCGGATGACTTTGCCGGTTTTCCCAGATATCAGCTTGATGTGACCGGCCTTCGACTCCTCGCGCTCCTCTAGATGAGCAGCTATGATCTCTGGCACTGAATCCCCATCGAGATCCCGGAGAACGTTGATGGTGTACAGGTCCATTACAATTGGTGAGTTTGTCTCAACCTCCAGCTCATGGAAACGCCAGATTACGGATCCCGTTCGGCCATTGATGGCGTAGATCATCTTGGGAAGATTAGTTATGGGATTAAATAGTACTTAAAGGACTTTTTATAAATAAAGCCTTGAAACCTTACCCCCAATCTCCCGGCTGCTACGCAGTCGGTGCCTCCATCTCCATCCACATCGGCGCTGCAGTGCAGCGAGAAAACATTGGCCACGCTCCAGGACTGCCACAAAATGGAGCCATCAAGTCCGTTGAGAGCCACCACCCCGCCCTCGCAGGGCACCTCCTCCCCCTGCATGGTAGCCTGACAGCGAGGCAACGGAATGCCCTCGTAGTGGATGTTGTCGTCTACTCCGTAGCCGAATACTATGTCCTTGATTCCATCTCCGTTCAGATCCGTCGCCCTCAGCGGGCTTTCACTGTTCATCCTTGCCAGGCTCCGGCTCCATCTCTTCTGTACGCTGATCTGTGTACAAGGCACGAATTCGCTGCCCAAAGAGCTGCCATACCCGATGTGGGAGGAACTGTCCGAGATGGCTGCCAGTTGGGAGGGATCTGTGCGCCACCAGTGCTTGATGCGTGTCAGCGGTATTGGGAAGAGGGTCAGCATCAGGGCCGCCAGACTGAGCAAGGCACAGAGTACAGTTAGAGCGGCCAAGGCATAGCAGAAGGGCTCACAGCAGCGACAGCAGCGCCGTCTTCTGTGCTGCTTCATTATTGGAGCAGAGCCGGATCCCGATCCGGTTCCACATCCGGAGCTGTTTTTGCGGCGGGGAGCCATTAAGGGTCTCTTTAAGCCCTGCTCCTCGCAGCGCTGTAAAGTTAAGCAAAATTTTAAATTTAATTTAAAAAAAAACTAATCCTTACTATCTTTGAAAGACTTTAAGATAAATTAAGGATTAAACTATGGAGATTTTTATTCTAATTTTTCATTGCACACAGATGTCACATGGAGCGTTTTGAGAAGTTTATGAAATTAAAGCTATACATTTTTATCTGGCTTTAAAAAACGATATTATTTAAGCCTTTAAATCTCTAAAACTGAACTAACCCTTCTATATAGATTCTATATATTGTGTATCAACTATATCACTCGTTTCTTATCTAACAATCTCCCCTCTTTTTGTACTTCCCCTTGCTTTATAAAAAAAAAAACAATCTTTTCCTAAAGAAAATATTAGAAAACCGAAATAGTATCCTTTAAATTTCGAACTAACCTTGGCCGACCGGGCATCCTTGATGAAAACCTCGTCCTCCACGTCGTCACTGGCATCCTCATCAATAGACGAGTCCCGTATGGCAATCCTCTTCGAGGGCACATATGGACGCAGTTTTATCATCTTGCGGTCTGTTTCCGTATCTGTTTTCGATTCCGCCCGAACTTTTGGGCCACCCAACTGCGTCTGCAAGAATGCCTCGGTTTTAGCCAGTCGATGGAAGCTCTTCAGATCCTTTGGAGCATTCTGCGGCTCCGTGTGCTCCGTGCAACTCCTACTGCAGTGATGCGAGTCCGGCGATTGTGTAAAAATCAATAACTACGTCACGGCTTTTCGCTCAGCTGTCGGTTGAGTGCCGGAGCATGCGCACGGGGGGTTGGATGGGCCGCCACCCCAGGCCCGCCGCACATAAGGGTAACCCCGCCACGTGTTGGCCGGAGGCTACAGGTTTGTTTATCAACAAAAGAGTCTCGCCCACCTGGGCGCCACACTCTCCCTCTCCCTATCTGTCTCTATCTCTGTCTCGGGGGAGAGTTTCTCTTTTCATCTGTTGCTGGACAGAGACACCACCCCGTGGCGCCCAACACCCCCTGGCAACCGACCACCATATTACCCCATGCCTGAGGAAAACTCCCCGATTAGGTTCCCCACAAGCGGTTCAATGTCCTCGCTTTGAGCCTTTTTATGAATGAAGTGGGCGGTGTTTCGGAGTTGGGATGGATTTTGAAGGGTGGAGCGGACGCGGTTACAGATTCATTCAACATGCTTCCGCATACTGCGAATGTGGGTCACATCTGCTAGGAGGCAGTGTGTGGTTTCGCAGCTCGCTGAAGCTGCCAATAAATAGTTAATGAGATGTTGTCTGCCTTTCAGCGGCAGGAAGTGAGGTGGATCAGATAGGACTGGACAATTATTTAGCATTCAATTACCATTATTTTAGGAAATATATAAACAATGGTGTTAAGTAAAATATAGAGTATAAGAGCTTAAGATTACCTCTATAACGAAAATAAAGCCATCGCCATGATCCTTTTGCATGTCAACGATGGCCTCTTGGGCGTCTAATGCCACCCAATAAACACTCATCCTTGCCGATCCTTTTTTTTATTAATTTTTTTCCAGCTACTAGAGTCTTAATGCCCAATACCTTGGATGTCCTTGGCTTGATTGACGTCACAGGTTTATCCTTGCTATTTGAAACGTACAGTCAAATACATTTTGTGAAACAAATTGCAGTTGTTTTATCTTTTTCTCTCATAATTTGTTTTACAACATTTTCTATGACGTAGCGCTTGTCAAAAGCCAAACACAAATGAAAAGTATCATTGATGGGTTTTTTTTCTTAACCCTCTATCGCTATGATAGAGCCACCACCGCAAAGCACTAGTATTCAAATAGCAAGTGCACCAAAACCTTTTGCGAATTTGCTTTAGCCACCGCCCTGGTGCTGCTGCCCTCAGCGAAAAACTTAAGAGCACCACTTAGTGGGGCAAGGAATGGGTGGCTGGGCTTGGGACTAGGCGGGATGCACTCAGAACAGGTCCAAGCTCGACTGCATCCGAATAAACTATAGAAAAATCAACGGCTTTTTATAGCTACCCTCTCAATAGAGTCTCCCCAGGGCGAGGTGTATGGTTCGTTGCGGTTGCAGCTCATTCGGGGGTGGTGGGGTGGCAACTTAAGTGTACTATTATCGCATCAGAGATAATTTAATAACGATGAGTCTTCTTCTTGCGCCGAGGCCAGAAAGGATGTGTTGCATCGGCTCGAGAGTGTTGCGGCAAGGCGTTGAGTAGTGCTTGCTTGTTGGCTCGGTTGGGAGGGGATGGTGGCAGGTAAGGGGGTTGGCCTCACATGTGTGCAACCTCACATGTCTCACAACTGTCCCAAGGTCGCCAGGAGTCCAAAGAAGGAAGCAAAATGATTTTTAATATTTTTCATTTTCAAAAAGTCTATAGAAAAATCAGTAGTCTTTCACTTATGTCTACCTTATTTATTTATGTATGTACATATATAACCCTTTATTTAAAATTTTAAATATTGATTGAATATTCGTTTCAGCCCTAAAAAGAGAGGTTTTAAAAAGTTTAAGAGGTTTAAGGATGTTAAGGGAACTCCATTGCTAATGGAGATAGCCAAGAGATGGATAGTAATATTCCAAATCCCATTTTGAGGATTCAAACTCAAACTTAGCTTTATCTTTTTGTTATATTTTTTAGACAAGATTTATATAGAATGTACTTAAAAATGTACTTAAATTAAAAATGTAGAATGTAAAACTCGATCTTAAGATTTTTAGAGAAATTTATTTTAGATGAATAAAATACAAAGACATAAGTGACATCTTTAAAAAAATACATCCATACCCTAGACTGCCATTTTTCCTCTCCGATTTTCCACTTAACTAGAACGCTTTTGTCATGTCATTAAATTGGATTTTTCTGGCTTGTTTTTCCCCAATTTGTATATTTTTATTCAGTTTCATTTAAGTACTCCTTGTGACATCAGAGGAGACACTGGGGATTACCGTGGTGCTGCATTCATTAGCCGGAGCTCTAGAGGACCCCTCCTTATGGAAGTCAGTGGCAACTGGCACCAACTTTTGATGCGACAAACGCCACTCCTGGGGCCACTTGGCAACTTGCGGAGAACTTTTTAAGAGTGGACTAACAAGCAAATTGATTGAAAAATGCTCAAAACTAAAGATACATAGTGTGAGCAAGGACCTAAGGACTCCGGAAACTGCACCGAATTTAACAAGGCAAATCGATTGTCATATGTCGGATCCGAGAAATTGAAGGTTCTGCCCTCCACATGCGGTTGTGCATCAACATTTTCCAGAAAACAATCTGGGGGACAAGGAGAAAAAATGTCGATGACGACAGAACCGAGCCGATTATATGACAAAAAAAAAAAATGGGTATGGAGGCAATGCCAAAGTACTCGTGGAAATTATGTTAAGTGACTCAGAACAAACAGACTGGTGCAGCCCTGGTCGGGGAAAGGATATTTGCCTGTCCTATATATAGGCGCATATACAAACACGCATATGTTTAGTCTTCCACCCAGCCGATAGTTCCTTGTTCTTCCAACATTAAAGTCTGCGTTTCTGGCGGCTTTCACTTTTGTTTTTCCAACCTCTGTCGTGAGAAAGGACTCACCCACACAGACAGCTGTCAAGCATCCTGCATCCTTCGTTGGTGAACATTCGGTTCGTGCCTGGCAAGGTTTTAAATTCAAATCTGTTCGCCTCCAACTGTCAGTTGCCAGTGAAAGTTCGAACAGCAAAGACGCTAAAAACGGAAAAACTAGAATTCGGAATAAAAATAAATCAGCTTTTAGCTAATTAGAAGTTTGTTAAAAAACTCTCATAGCCTGAAAAACTTTTCCAAAAAATTTATCTTTATATTTAACAAAATGATGTGCTGATTTTCACAAAAAAAGTGTGCTTTTCTAAAATGTTATTGAGTGTGGAGAGCTGATGGTTATGTAATCTCTGTGAAGATTCCAGAAATCAAACAGAAAATTAGTCCTTTTCGAGTTCAAAAGAGTGGAGGTGACTGGTGTAGTGAAGTAAAACATATACTTATCAATTGACTGTGTAAGATTTTTGAATTAATTACAATAACTCCATGTCTAATATGTACAATGTCTAATAATGAAACTAAAACAGCTTTTGCTTAAATATTTTTCTCAATTTATAAGTTTAACAAAAATGTATATATGAGCTTAAAATCAATAGTTTTCTAAATTTAAAGGAAGTAAGAATTTTGCCTTGAGGAAGTTCAACTTGCCTTGATGAAGTTTTGCCTTGATAAATACATACTATATCTAATCCTTCCAAAGAAAATAATTTATTTGTATATTTACAAACGAGTTTTTCGTAAAAAAAGTAAATTTAATAATAATAATACAGTATACAGACTCTGAAACATTTTTATTATAATAATTGAAACTATAACACAATAAATATTTAATACTAATATAAAATAGCCTCTTTGCAGTATTTAGTAAAGAGGCTATAGCTGTTGGACAATACTATATTTTAAAGTATTTTTATTTAATTCTTTAGTCCCGATTCTTCAATATATACGTATCTGTCTTAAAAAAGTTATAAATAGTTTTATTTGTGCATAGAATTTGAAAGTAATTTATAATTGAACCATAAAGATATAATAAAATACAGACTCTTAAATTCAATGCCTTTATTATAATTTATTTTTTAAATTTCCAATTCTTTAAGTTGCCCCAATTTTATAACAAGCCGCTCATAGTTGTCCTTCTCTATTGGAGGTTCTGCCGCATTGCCAGGATTCTTTTATTGCCCGCTTTCTTCTCTACGTTCGCCATGTGGAATCGTGGGCAGAAGGAGTGGCTGGAAGGGAATCCTAGTCATTGCAAGCGCATAAAAAGGCGCATGGGCCACTTAAGGCACGGCTCTCACCCCAGCCGCCTTCTCCAGCCCTCCACCCTGTACCCCAACCGTAACCCCAATTCCTAGCCTCCCTTCCTTTTGAGTGGCTTTAATTGTGAATTAAGACGGTATTGTGCAGTGAGCAACTGAGACGGCGACAGGTATTGCTGAATCGTTGACAGTGTCCTGCGGCCAGGGTTGCCATCCTTACTGAATCCTTAATTCGGCATTCGCCAATGCCGAGGCTATTGTCGAAGGTCCCATTGTCCTGACCTCTATTTTCCCCCATTTTATTTACTAGTTTGAGCGGCATAATTGTTGCTATTTTTGTGCCAATCGCTCTCGATGCATTGTCAATGCCAGGGGGACCTGTCGAGTGTCCTGCTAGTTAGTCTTTGATCCTCACCTGATGGCAAGGTCAAGGAACAGACCAGGAAATCCTTTTTAAGTTGTTTGTTTCGATTTAGTCTTTTTTGTACCCTTGCAGATTGTATTCTAATTTTGATGAAAAGTATGCAACGAAGTAAAGGAGACATCGATACTATACAGTATATATATTTTTATAAATTCCTATAAAGTACCTACAAATTGTCTTTTGGTTTCTATCCAAACTAGTTTCTCAGTTTTAAATCTATCCAGTTCAAGCTTGGCACACATCCTTCTACCTTCTATCCTATAGCTTTTATTAATAAAATGGTTTACTCCTGTATCTTTAAAATTAAAAGATTGGTACTTTCTAAGGATTATCTCAAAAATAACTTGACTATATAAGTCTAATAGTTGCTTGTAAAGCAACTCAATATATATCTTCTATAATTTCTAAAAGAAAACAGGAAAACTTGCCCACTTTTAAGGGTGTCAAATTCAAGAAGTCAAATTGTATTGAATTTGAACATTTTTTTGCTCCTACAAGTTCTTCTTTAAAATAGTAGTTATTCAGTTTTGTTGTCTCATAAAACAAGTTTGTTTTTATCGAGAGATCTAATATTTATGAATTTATGAAAGCTACATATATTTCTACATTATAATACCTTTTATATAATAAAGAATACATTGTTTCATTAGGTAGAGTTCAGATAGCAATGGTTTTCCAAATAATTATTCTGGTGATCTGCACCATCTGCCTCAAGAATTTTGCCAAAGGAGAATTTCAGTGAGTAGAGATTAATCTATAAAGATCCACCAAAAAATCGTAACTTCAAATATTAAATCCAGGCAAAGTCTGGCTATTACCGACATCCTGCCCGAGGACATTAAGCGCTATGACAAAATGCGGCCTCCCAAAAAAGAAGGCCAACCTACGATAGTCTATTTCCATGTTACGGTGATGGGCCTGGACTCTATCGATGAGAACTCAATGACTTATGTTGCGGATGTATTTTTCGCCCAGACGTGGAAGGATCATCGATTGCGTTTGCCGGAAAACATGACCCAAGAGTACAGATTGCTGGAAGTCGATTGGTTAAAGAATATGTGGCGTCCGGACTCGTTTTTCAAGAACGCCAAGTCGGTGACTTTCCAGACGATGACCATACCAAACCACTATATGTGGCTCTATAAGGACAAAACTATTTTGTATATGGTTAAGCTAACGTTGAAGCTATCCTGTATTATGAATTTCGCCATTTATCCTCATGATACCCAGGAGTGCAAACTACAAATGGAGAGCTGTAAGATAAATAATATTTTTATTTGACATTCGATAATATTTTACATATTTTTCTGATTAGTATCTCACACCACTGATGACCTGATTTTTCAATGGGACCCTACCACGCCTTTGGTGGTGGATGAGAACATTGAGCTGCCCCAAGTGGCTCTTATTCGGAATGAGACTGCAGATTGTACGCAGGTCTATTCCACTGGAAACTTTACCTGCCTGGAGGTGGTCTTCACTCTAAAACGGCGCTTGGTGTATTATGTCTTCAACACCTACATACCCACCTGCATGATTGTGATCATGTCATGGGTATCCTTTTGGATCAAGCCCGAAGCTGCTCCCGCCCGGGTCACTTTGGGGGTTACATCGCTGCTGACCTTATCCACGCAGCACGCCAAGTCGCAGTCGTCACTTCCGCCGGTGTCGTATCTAAAGGCCGTTGACGCCTTCATGTCCGTCTGTACTGTGTTTGTGTTCATGGCTCTCATGGAGTATTGTCTGATTAACATTGTCCTGAGCGACACACCTATTCCCAAGCCGATGGCATATCCGCCCAAGCCAGTACCAGGCGATGGAGCCAAAAAAGAGGGAGATGGGAATCCACCAGGGGGGAGTAATGCGGCGAGCAGTAAGCCCCCGCCCATGCTGCCACTGGCCGATGAGAAGATCGAGAAGATTGAGAAGATCTTTGATGAGATGACCAAAAATAAAAGGGTAAGGATGAAAGGATAATATACAAAACGTAAAAATATTTATTTTCAGATTATAACAACTACTCGACGTGTGGTAAGACCTCCTCTGGACGCAGATGGCCCGTGGATTCCCCGTCATGAGTCCCGCATTATCCTGACACCGACGATTGCACCGCCACCACCACCTCCACCGCCATCGGTGCCGGAACCGGAACTACCCAAGCCCAAGCTGACACCCGCCCAGGAGCGCCTCAAGCGGGCCATCTACATAGATCGCTCCTCGCGCGTCCTATTCCCCGCTCTTTTCGCCAGCCTCAACTGCATCTACTGGATTGTGTTCTACGAGTATCTGTAAGATCGAAGCCGACTATCCCTGTACATACTTTCGATTTTGTCTTCAATTGCTATATTTTTCTGTCGCTGTCGCTCCATCCGAGTGTTAATCGTTGATTGTTCGCCTATATCGAAACATATATTGCAAATTAACTTTTAAGCTTTCACGCACAAGCTTTAAGTAAATGAATTTTAAACATAGACAATTTGTTAAACCAAATAAATAAAAAACAGAAAGCCACAAGATAAATTACAAATGATCAATTCAATTCCTAAAATGCTTAATGTTTAACAAAAAAGTAGCACCGGGTATATATTAAGTGAATTGTAATTTAATGTCTCAAACAAATGCTTTTAATTGTAAATAAATAGAGAAACCATTTAAAAAAGAGTAGTATTAATATTTGAACATAATGGATTTATTTAGAATAGTAAGTATTGGTAGCAAGGATGAGATCTAAAACCTTCTTTAGTCTTCCAGCTATACTTAAAGTTACAACTTCTTTTAGTCGTTTGGCAAGACCATTCATAATTTTAACACCTCATTTCTTCTTCATTTTATTTGGTAGTTATAATTTTATTTCGCGCTGCTTTTTCTTTTAAAGGTGCCAACATTGGGTCCAACAATGGAACTTGCCCGGGTTTCTACCTTTCGCGTTTGTCAAACAGCTGGAGGCTCTGGGTCTTATGAATACCCAATTAATTATGTTGGTCACACGCTCCACACTTTTGCCTTTTCACGGTCGTTAGTGACGCCTGAACGCAAAAATATGAAAGACTTAAATATATGAAAACAAAACTTACCAAATGACCCAAAGATAAGATGACAATTATGGCGCAGTTATCAGAACTAACTGATCAGAGATAGTTCCAAATAAAAAGGAAACCTTGTACGATTAGCTATTTAAGGCTTAAAGTGTGGTTAATTTTTTCAGGGGTTTCTCCAAAACATCGAATGATGATCAATTATATGTTTTGTGTATGTTTTTTCGCTTTAACCATTTGCATTTGAAGTAGGCCAAGCCAAAGAGTTTGGTTCGTTTTTTGGGGAAACCACACCAGCTCATGATTCACTCGAAAACCACACTGAACACGAGCCCAGTACTCGATTCCGAGACGATTGCATCGGTGGAGGCTTCGAGAGGCGGGAAAACAAGCTAAGGTTGCGCAAAAATTAATTTTTGTTTATTTAAGGCTGGGGAATACCTAATATTCGGCATCATGTGGGTGTGCTCAATGCAAATTTGTTTGGCCTAGTGGAGTAGGGTTCATAGAGTTGATCTTTCAAGGAAACTAAAAATTTGTAAATAATATTTTGTTGTTTTATGATATGATAATAATTCTTTTGAACCAATTAAAAAGGGAAAATTCCCTGTTTTAAACGCTGAGAGATCTAAGCCCCTCTGCACTCACACGAGAGACAGTATTCAGAGTCTGAAGAAAGTAAAATCCAGCTGACAACCTCGCGGCTACCGTTGCGCCTCTTAATTTCCCCCCCATTTCCCCTCAATCTTTCACACAAAGGCCGAAACGAAAACGAAACGAAATGCTTCAGCAATAACAACAATAAAGGCCAAAGCTGCCTGACAACGGTGCACAGTGGTTTTTAGGAAAGTTTTTTTATGCTTTTAAAAGGGTAAGAAAATATGCTGCATAATTTACACTCTTAAAAGAAGAGATAGTGATTTTCTTTTTTAGAAAAATTCAGTTTTAAGTTTGAACAACTATTTTCCTGTAAGAGAACATTTTAAGCCCAACAATTTAAAATAAAAGTAAAGAGTTATTAATGACGACTAGGGCTTTTTTTAGTCTTTTCAAAAATGTTGAAAACCACTGTGCAGTGCCACAAATTGTTATGTTGTTGCTGGGGTTGAGTCTCATGTTTTTGTTGTTGTAATGTCTTCGGCTGGGCCTGCGTCATTTTGTCTTTTGCAGTTTCAGTTTCAATTTCAGTCCAACTCGGGCAGCAACGGCACACGGAAGCAGGCTCCGTGCCAAGTCACAAAAATATCGCACCAAAGTCCCGAAAATAAAACGGATCGTATAAACACCCATTGCAATTGGATTTTAGTGTAAAAACGGCTATTGATAATTCGACCAGGATTCGAAAAAAGTGAAATTTTTTGCACTTCGGCCCAAACGTTTCGCAATCATTGCGAGTAAAAATAAATAAATAAATAAATATTACAAAATTCAATTAAAGCAATTGGCAGCTCGTAAAATTTTACACCAAGGCTAAATTGTGGTTTAAGCCAGGCCAAGATATCGAAATCGAAATTAACGTAGCCGCGTAGCTTAAAACTTTTTAACACTTTCATTTTCGCTGGAAGTTGTCGTTTTCGTTGGGTTCGTCATCGCTGCGGTCGCTTTATCTTTCGTCGAGTGTGTTAAATAATAGTAAACAAAAAGTGAACGAATCTACAACAATTTTCGGCAAATGTTCAACAGCTTTGTAAACTAAAAACGGAAACTGCATTTAAAGTTGATGTTCGGCAAGATGCAAACGAAGGCGTTTCTACTCTGCCTGGGTTGGTATTCAAAATAGCACTCAATAGCACTCAAATGAGGCCCACCACCAATGCTCATAACAAGCAGGGCTCAAAATTAACAGATAATTAACCCAGTTTCGGGCATTCCGAATTCATTTTCAAATTTTGTAACAATATTTTCGATCGGCTTATGGTTAATTTGTGCTAATGCGCAAAAAAAAAATGAAAATAAAAAACGTACAAAAACAAAAGACTTAGGCAACGAACTCGGAGCATCCAACGAAAGTCTGAATGCATTTGATGATTGTTGGATTTGGTTTTTGTTTTTGTTTCCTCTTGCAACTTGCAACTTTCTTTGCCACTGCCACTGCCAATAAAGCTTCCGCTCGGTGACGTCAGAGCCAAAAAACCAGCTGGCATGCAAATCACACAAATACGTTCGGACGCCAAGGCCAATCGGCGTTTGGAGAGAGCACTCTCTTCCATCCCCTCGCCCAAGTACTTGGGTGTACGTGTTTCTTGGTATTACCACAGCACCAGACTTGACCATCTATTATGCAACAACAAAAACTACAACAGCAACAAACACAACTTGTCACCGATGTTGGCTGTTTATATACGATGTTGCTGGTGCCGGCAACCAAAACTTCCCGACGAGTTTGCTGATGGCCTGACCATGAAGTGTTCAATTTTATGCTATCTCTGCAGCTTCGGAAGTTATTGCAGCTGTTGCTTGTTTCTCTGATTGTTACTGAACCTTGTCCCCCACCTCATACCGCTGGATTAGTAATTTTCCAGCAACGTCAGCGTTGACATCTCAGGTGCTTTCTAGGGGGGATTTTCACTTTCCTTTGCCATGCAATCAGTGGAAAACCTTAAAGTCTTATGAAACTCATGGCCTGGAGTTAATTGGATTAAAGTAAGGAATGTTGTGAGGCATGCAGTGAGGTTAAAATATAAAAATATAGCCCTCTATCTACGAATTATTCTTTATTATGATCTTTAAATGGAATCTTTACCTTATTTTTAGGTCATAATAAACAAAAGTGTGAACAACAATGAACCAAAAAGAGAGCATATATGTATGTATATCCATACCAAATGTGCTTAGTCTGTCTGAGGCCTTCGGGGCATTCACTTTTCCCAAGAAATCATTTCTATATAAGCCCTATAATTGGCCAATATTTCATTGTGTTGAGGCGAACGCAGGCACCAGCTGAAATACAAAATAAAGCATTGCCATTTGGTATGGGCAATTTTATTCCAAGTGAAAGTGGCAAAGTTGCAGTGCACACCTCGAAAAATGTTAATGAGCCGCGTTCGTATCTGGCATAAAGGCACAAAAAAAAAAAAGCATACAAAAAAGCAGAAAAGGCAAAATAAAACAGAAACTGTAGCAGCTTAACCCAAATCAGTGGAAGATAATCAATTTTGTTCCCCTACGCTTTGAGGTGAAATCTAAAGGCGACCTTGAGGCCCTTTTTTTCAACTTACATAAAGAATTGCCCGGGAGGAAGTTCCTCTTTTGCCGAGATCTTTCCAAACCAAAAACTGTCGAGTCATTAAGCAAAAGTGTGACAGCTCCAGGCAAGAAAACCCGAAAGCCATCCAAGCCCAACGGACTGAGATTATGTCACGGCATCAGGCCAGGCAAAATAAACACAAAACTAAGTAAACATTAACTGCTTCAGTTGAGGATCGGAGTCATAACCGGCGACATACTTTCTTATTCACAAAACAGGGGCGGGATGGGTGTGTGGAGCGGTCTGGCGATGCGTAATGCCAATTTGTGACATTATTTAACTTTGTTTTGAAGTCAGTTAGGGCAGTTGGACATTTTCAGATTCACAATTGCTTCCTGATTTTTTGTATAAGAAAAAACCTTTAAAGATATGTACATAACAAGAGTGTCATAACTGCAACACTAAAAGTACAAAAACGTTAGTTTAGTAACTATACTATAAAAACTACTAAACTAAAGAAACACTTTTTAATAAGAATACATATTCTGAGTTATTTCATACCTACAAAATAGAATTTATAATTCATTTACTGTTTGTTGGATTTATCTAACTTTGTTATCAACAATAAACAAAAAATTATCAATTAGCTTTCATTATCATAATGCAGTAATATTTTTTATCTTTAACAAAACCCGCAAATTCTTGAGTGTTTGCTTTTTCTAGGTTTCAGAAATGACTAATTTTGTTTGGAAAATGTTTATTTATTTAGAAAAGCGATTCATTTTTTCTCATATTATTTTGTTGACAATATTTATCATAATATCCAATATTTGTTGTTGTATGAATTAATTTATTAAGTATTCGTTGTCTTCTAGTTCTCTCTTCGGGAGCCTTGTTTTCCGCTCTGGCTGAATCCGATGACTCCTATGACGAGGAGCAACCTATGCACCTGACCAACGACGGTAAGTTGGATCATAATGTGATTTTTCAGTTCACGGACATTCATAACTTTAACCATTAAGGCAGCGTCTTTCTTTCAGCCGCATCTGCACGACCGTCGTCTGGGCCGCCAGTTAAGTGAGGATCTTGGCCTGAGTCTTAGCCAATCGACCAGCAGCGGAAGTGCCAGCAGTCAGTCCAGTTCCGCCTACGAAGACGAGGACGATGTAGAGGGCTCCAGCGAGTACTACGATAGCGATGAGGATCAGACGGAAGGCAGTAATGAGTCGCTGCCACGTTTGCTTTCCCAGTCAACCTTTAACCGCATTTCGGAGACCCTGGGCGCCTTAAATCATGTGGGTCACATGCTGGTGGACATGACCCGAGGGGGTCAGGAGCAAGCTAAAACGGAGGGGTTGGAAAAAAGTGAGGACAAGAGTCAGAGCGAGAGCTCCAGTACCACTGTGGGAGTGTCGACCACCACGGAAGCTGCAAGCACTTCATCCGCTCCGAGTCCTCTGGGAAAATCAGAACCACTTCCAGGGGTATCCGGAAAACTTATGGATACGCTTCCCATAACACTCTCGGCCAATAGTCTGCTGCCAGCAGGCAAGCCCGCCAATCTGAGTGTCCTGCAAGTGGCCACCAAAAGGATTGGACTGGATGACCAGTCCCCAATGTTTGTGGAAAATAAGGAGCTCAAGCAGAAGAAGAAGAAAAAGAAGAACAAGAACAAGCAGAAGATTAAGAAACCCAACGAGGAAGCTATCCAAGTCATACCAGGACTTCAAGGTGCCCAGGGATCTCAGCAATCCCAGCAAAAGATCAAAATCCCCACCACACCAAGAACCACCACAACGAGTACAACCACTACATTGGCTCCAGTCACATCGCGACCCTTGGATCAACTGGCGCTGGCTAGTGATGAGCCTGGAACTGGAAAGGATGTGGAGAACTATTGCAAGACTCCAAGTGGCAGGCCAGGACGTTGCGAAGATCTAAGCAGTTGTCCGGCTTTACTTTTGAACCTCAGCAGTCTTCGGGAATCCCTCTGTTTTAAGAGTCTCTTTGTTCCGGGAGTGTGCTGCCCCATCTCTTCGACCTCCACGTCAGGAGAGAGTTCCACCGTATTGACCACTCAGAGGCCTCTCAAGTTAACCACAAGAGCCACTCCTAGTCCGAGTACCACCAAAGCCACCCAACCAACTAAACGCACCACTGTACGACCCACACCGCGCCCCACTTCGGGTCTTGTTCTGATTCCCCAAAAGAAGCCATCGACAACAAGTACAACGACCACCACAGAGGTGCCACTGGAACCGGAGGGACTGGACGAAATTGGCAATAACATCGTGGATCCGGATGAGTGCGGACAGCAGGAGTACTCCACAGGCCGGATAGTGGGTGGAGTGGAGGCTCCCAACGGTCAGTGGCCCTGGATGGCGGCTATTTTCCTCCACGGACCCAAGCGAACCGAATTCTGGTGCGGAGGTTCTCTTATTGGATCCAAGTATATTCTTACAGCGGCGCATTGCACTCGAGATTCCAGACAGAAGCCGTATGTTTATTTATTTATGAACTAATTGGTTTTAAAATTGTGCTAATATCGTGAAATCCATTTTAGGTTTGCTGCCCGCCAGTTCACGGTGAGATTGGGGGACATTGATTTGTCTACAGATGCCGAGCCCTCCGACCCAGTGACCTTTGCCGTCAAGGAAGTTCGCACTCATGAGCGGTGAGTTAAACTTTCGTTTATCATCTTTTGTTTGAAACTTAATCGGTCTTCATTCTTACAGATTCTCCCGTATTGGCTTTTATAACGACATAGCCATCTTAGTTTTGGACAAGCCTGTGAGAAAGTCCAAGTATGTGATTCCTGTATGTCTGCCAAAGGGACTTAGGATGCCGCCCAAGGAGCGTCTGCCGGGTAGGAGGGCCACTGTGGTGGGCTGGGGAACCACTTACTATGGTGGCAAGGAGTCCACCAGCCAACGGCAAGCAGAGTTGCCGATTTGGAGAAACGAGGACTGCGATCGCAGCTATTTCCAGCCCATTAACGAGAACTTCATTTGTGCTGGCTACTCTGACGGAGGTGTCGATGCTTGTCAGGTGAGTTGTGGAAAACAATTTTACTTAGTAAGAGTATTTATAATCTGTATTTTTACAATAGGGCGACTCTGGTGGTCCCTTGATGATGCGATATGACTCTCACTGGGTTCAGTTGGGTGTGGTTTCCTTTGGCAACAAATGTGGTGAGCCTGGCTATCCAGGTAAGGAAAAACATAGATTATTATTTTAACAATGAAATAATTTAATTGCAATTATATACTAGGTGTCTATACTCGCGTAACTGAGTACCTGGACTGGATTCGTGATCACACGCGGGACTAATCAGTGTTCATCTATTGAACTGCCCGTTCCACCGTAGCCCGTAACTGTAGTCTAGGTTTAGATATGCACTAGTCTATGTACTATTAATGTCCCCTTCCCTTCTCTTCTAAAATGCAGAGTCCTATTTATTAACCACGGCCCATTGCTATGACATTAAGCATTTATTGACTAAATTATGACTAAATAATAATCAAATGATAATTTGTGAAAAAAGTAACCAAAAGCATTTTTACAACTCTTGAAATTAAAAAAATATTTCGTTGAGAGTTTTTGATGCAGATTGATGTAGAATCCGCCAACAAATCGTTTAAGGTATTCCTTTTAAGATTCGGATAGGTTTTGGTGAAGATATGGTCTTCGGAGGGGCCCATATTGCCGTTCCATGCATTTTACCCATTTTTGAAGGGGACCCTCCAGAAAATATGACAAAAAATTGAAAAAGTATTTCGTTGCTAGATTTTGATGCAGTTTGATGTAGAATCCGCCAACAAATCGTTTAAGGTATTCCTTTTAAGATTCGGATAGGTTTTGGTAAAGATATGGTCTTCGGAGGGGCCCATTGCCGTTCCATGGATTTTACCAATTTTTGAAGGAACCCTCCAGAAAATATGAAAAAAATTAAAAAAATATTTCGTTGAGAGTTTTTGATGCAGATTGATGTAGAAGTATTCCAAGAAATCCGCCAACAAATTGTTTAAGGGGACCCCCCCCATTCTCGATTTTAAATTTTGACGATTTTCAATGGGCTGGCAAATGAACATAAATTATTTTTTAGGGTTGTAACTGTGCTTACATATATTAAGACACAAAAAGGAAGAAAATCATTTCACAGAATTTTTTTTTGTTTTGTTTTTGTTGTTGTTTTTTGTGATCAAAGAAAAGCCCTTCTTTTCGGCGGCGCATGTGATTTCCGCTCACTGGAACATCTGAATCCAAAAATTCCAACGGGATTAGAAAAAGTACATGTTTGGCTCTCGTATGAACTAGGATTATTAACTTCGCTCAAAAATTAATAAAATGGTGGACCTTTGAAATTTTTTTTTGGAAATTTCCATTTTTTTCAGCCACAAATCGAGTTGAAAAGTAAGGAAGATCTTCACCGATTCGATTTATCCTAGTTCATACGAGAGCTATATATGTATAGAACAACGTGTTAAAATTTGGAACCGATTGGATTAATAGTTTTTGAGTAACCTCATGCGCCAGTCGTAAAAACACTGTTTCGAGAAAAACGCGTTTAAAGTTTTGAGATGGCTCTCGCCGTCGCCTGAGGCTTCCACCATAAATCGGCTATATCTTTAAGAGTTTTTGAAATTTTTACTTGAAATTTTCAGGGAACATTCTTGAATAGTTACAAGTTCGAATTAAATTTAAAAAAAAAAATCGATTTTTTAAAACCGAGAATGGGGGGGTCCCCTTAAGGTATTCCTTTTAAGATTCGGATAGGTTTTGGTAAAGATATGGCCTTCGGAGGGGCCCATATTGCCGTTCCATGGATTTTACCAATTTTTGAAGGAACCCTCCAGAAAATATGACAAAAAATTGAAAAAATATTTCGTTGCTTGATTTTGATGCAGTTTGATGTAGAATCCGCCAACAAATCGTTTAAGGTATTCCTTTTAAGATTCGGATGGGTTTCGGTAAAGATATGGCCTTCGGAGGGGCCCATATTGCTGTTTCATGCATTTTGCCCATTTTTAAAGGGTGAAGGTTTTGGTTTTGGTGAAGATATGACTATTGGAAGGGGCATATTGTCGTTTGTTTTACAAATGTATCAAAAATCGAGCTATTGCCTCATATTTTAAATTTCAAGAATGTTAATCTTTACTGAGTATACGAATGAGTAGTCCATGATGACTTGAAACTAATATTTTGCTAAAAATGATTACAGTTCTTACAAGAGTCGTCGAAATATACATTAAATAAGCTTATAAAATTATTTTAGAGGTTGCAAAAAAACATTACTCATTCGGGCATGTTAGAGGGATGACTTTTATAGTTTGGAAATTATAGGCTTATAAAATTTACATATTTAATAATAGAGAAACAATTATAATGCAGGGAATTCATTTATTAAGAAAACAGTCAAAATGAAAGCATTTCGTTATAGTAATAACCTTTGATTTATTTTGTTTTTTAGAAATAATTGCATTTAAATAGAATTAATCGTTTCATGAAGCAACGAAATCGGAAGGCAATGATTCGTAACTAATTGGATAAAAATACAATACGTAATTTTAGAAATGTTCACTGATGGGAGTGCCATGGCTTATATAAATACGGAAATTTATTTTAATCAGTTCATAGGCAGTTCAATTACGTTTAGCTTATGAACATAAACAAATCAAGGGAAGAACATATAAATTGGAACTATCAATCATTGGAACAATCATGGAATTATCAATGGTAATGCGATAGTCATACTTTGATAAGTTCATTCATGCCTCATGGTTTTTTATCACTAAATGGGGGGGGAATACTTGGTAAACGTAATTTCAAGGTTCTCTGTTTTTGCCGGTTCGCAGCCCAACTTTCTCACTTGGCAATCAGCATTCACAGCTGTCGGACGCGGTTTTTTTCCCTCCAATCGGCAAAGTGCGAGAAACTCAGTTTATTGCTTATTACCTGTTGTGTATAATATATCAATCAATCGACTACCTCAACGACTTCAGCAGACCACTAAAAGTGCCTATACTTAACTTATTTTAGAGCCGTTGTAAATTATAAAACATTCCAATATTTGGCGTGATTACCAGAAGTGAGTTCAAAAGCTTTGAGTGTTTTGTTTATGCAAGCTTTATAGAATAGTGTTTCAAACTTTCAAAGTATTTTTCAACGTTTATCAACACGAGTTCTAGCTTGATTTCGAAAGAGCTTTTCTGAGCAAGTTTCTTTCTCTCTCTTATACTGTAAGATTTTGTAAGCTTTATGTTAAGTTTGACCGCGTTTTTCTAGCGATTCCTCCACGATTTTTGAATTTAATAATTCGAATTCGATTCATTATTTTATTAATACATGCCAACAATAACCATACGATGACAAAAAAATGAAACATTTTTTAATAAAATGAAAAAAAAACTATCAACATTCAATTATTCAAAAGTTGCTGGATATTTTTTATATTATATATTTTTGAAAAATAATGAGTCTTATAAAATTATTTAAGAAAAAATTAATGTAACAAAAATAAAATTACAAATTGTTCCCGCCCGGGTTCGAACCGGGGACCTTGTGCGTGTGAAGCACACGTGATAACCGCTACACTACGGAAACGCTTGTTTGCTGATCGTCTTAATACAGCTCGAAAGAAAACTAGCCTTTAATAATGTATAGATATTTTTAGCTTAATCTATAAACTTGTTTTTCTATGTGGCAAATAAACATTTAAATAAAATAAGTAAACTAAAAATCCCTATATATGGCATAAATTTAAAATATATTTATTTAGTTATGGTAAATGCTTGCAAAACATAGTATCCAGTTCCGTACTGATATAACTGGACGCAGTAAAAGTTTTTTTTTAAGAAAAAAAGTAGAAAATTACCAGTAGATATCAAAAAATAAATATTATTTATAAAAGTAGCCAAAAAATTAGTATATATGTTCCCGCCCGGGTTCGAACCGGGGACCTTGTGCGTGTGAAGCACACGTGATAACCGCTACACTACGGAAACAGCTTGAAATAGATCGGTCTAATGCTCCCCTTTGGCTAAGATCGTGTGTCCATTATCTATTAGCTGCCGGTTGCATGACGGCAAGACCGATTGACAAAATCCCATTTCTTGGCCTCGTCATTCCACTCTTAATTAGCCTTTACTTGTTCGCTCTTCATGGAGTCGCACAACCAATTGTGTAATAAAGAAAGGGCGTGAAGGGAAGCTGGCGAGGTAGCGGGTGAAAGGCATTCATGGCATGCCTGAAACACGCTGACCAGATTACCGACCAGAGCCCCAAGTGGTTGGGGTGGGGGAGGGTGGCGGAGGTCTTACCAACCGGGAACCGGGAAGGAAAGGGACATTGTTCTGGTCCCACCTTTAAATAAATTCGAGCACGCTGATCCTTGATTAAAATTCCTATTGTCTGCTTTGGTCCGGGCCAAGATTTTCTCCCCCTTTATAGCGCCTCTTTTGTGCGGCACCGTGAACGTAATTAATATGCAGGCCAGAACGGACTCTAACTGTTCTCTGGCACTCGTTATAATTACGCATTTAAATTGGCACAAAGGTTGAGGCCAGACACGAACCAGGAGCAGGCACTGAAAGAAAATCTATTTTAAAGAAATAGTGTCATTTTTGAAAGATTTTAAAATGATAAGCTAATGATACCATGGCTTTAATTTTACTACATTTTATAAAATACTTTTTAAAATCTTTCTTAATATTTTTCAAGAAAAGTGTTTAATTTTCTTCCAGTATTAGCAAATCTAAGCTAAAGCCAAGAAGATTCCACAAGGAAGCACTTTCAACTCTTGTACGGGCTGTGTTAGCATGTGTGTGTGTGAGGCGGGCGCCTGTGTGGGTGGGTGGGCATGGCTCGTGCACGGCCCCATAAATTTGGGTCAATGGGAAAAACGTCAGAATTGAGTAATTACAACATAATTTTCAATTTTGCAGTTTACGTTGTAAATTAATTTGCGGTCGACATTGGCAAAGCAGCCCCAGATCATGCTTACCCTAGCCCCCAACCCTGGTGCCCTTTTCACCCGGCTTAGGCTGAACCGTGACTGAAAATTCGGAATAGGGGGGCTTCGGTTGGGGTTTCTCTCAGCTTGGGTATGGGTTTGGGGCGAAATTGCACAACAATTAAAGCTACAATTACTGGACAGCTGGACGTTTGTTGGATTTTGCGTTGTTTTGCTTTGCTTTCAATGTACTCTATGTACGACTATAACGGTAAACGTACATTATAGTCTTGTCCGGGTCGGGGGATTCTCGGCTGGGGGTCAGTCCTTTGTTGTGCATAATTAATTAGCAGCTTTGCTGCCATCCACGGGTGTTGATACCCTGCCCTGAAACGCAGAAAATGCTGCAATACTGAGTTTCCAATTACTACTCTTAACTAAATAGGGAAAACTACAAATGTAGTTAGATTTAAAAATAATTGAATTTTATAAAATGGATCATTTTAATTGGTAAAAAATATGTCTGAAGCTTTTGCTATTCAAAGTATGAGATTCTGTCATTTTAAACTTCTGGTAATACCAATAGTTATTGAAAGGATAAGTTACCATCGATAAGTTAGCTAAAGGGTCAAAAATAGTTTTGCCATCATCATTGTCAGCACTCCCTTGAGAGGGGGGAGCTGATTTTTGCACAAAACTGTTTACAATTTTACAGCTGAATGGATTTTAATTGAAAGCACCAGAAGACACGCTATAGTGTCAATGACACTCCCGACGGCCCGAGAGACAGGGCGTCGGTGGACGGATGTGGGATGGGATTTGGTTTCGAGATTGGGTTCTCCAAGAGAAAACAGTTGCCGGCAGCTGTGACAAGATTCCGGATCATGTGGGTTGCCCGGCCCGGCTTATGCAAGGGGCTAGCCCGAAACCGGGCGAGATGCAATAAAAAATTGACCCGAAAATGTGTAACAAATGTTGTGACATATTTTCGCAACGTTTGCTCAGCTCGCCGCCACCTCCTCGCTCTATTGCTGCCAATGATCCTGAAAAGCGCCAACGAAAAGAGTCTGAAAGGATGCACGGAATGGGTTTTCCTGGGGCAGAGTGAAAATCGGTTTCGGGCAACATTTGTTTTGGGCCACATATACATATACATATAACAGAAAATGTGCAAAAATGAATATGAAAACGGGGCTAACGATTTAAGAGGCGCGGAGTGGTAGTTGAGGTCGGGAAATCTGTAACTGTAAACGTAACTGCAGCATGGCATGAACTTAATCTGCTGCCGATTGTTTTTCTTCTCTTTTCATGGGGGAGGGGAGGGGCGAAGCTGCGGATTTGTTGCTCAATTTGTATGTGTGGGGGATATTGGCGATTTTTTGGGGGACAGGGAACTGGAGCTGGAGCTACTTTGAGGGAATGAAGCAACCCAAATACGGCGTATTTTCAATATTGTGGCAACAATTTTCATGGATTTTCCTCCTTCTTTGTTTTTGCCCTGTTTTTTTTTTGGGTTGTGTTGTGTTGTTGGCCTGTTTGTATTTGGCAACTTGGTAATAATGAAACCAACGATTGGCCAGAGGCAAGGGCGAAGGGGGGCTGCGCTCCGGGGGAGGACAAAGTCTGCGGGGGTGTGTTCATTTAATTGAAAACAAGGCGTGGCGCTACTGGCGGTAGCACTTAAAGCGAAATTGAGAACAGATGGAACGGCGAACGAAAAACTTACAATAATTGCCCACAACAGTTTGAAATTGAACGAAGCCACTCAAATGGACTGGAGTCCCGGTTCCAGGATACTCGGTTAACTCGGGATGATTACCATCAGCGGCAGATAAAGTTTCGGCGACCACTTAATGGGTTATTTATAGAGTTCCCCTCAAAGTCGGAGTGCTGCAACTAATTAAAATACACAATTAAATTTCCCTGATAAAGTAGAGATTTTATATTTGTTGTGTCCACTTTTATTAGAAAACTTTTTATGGTTCACATTAATAATATAAGATTGGAGTTGAATTGTTAGACTTTAACCTTCCATAAATTCCCTGTCCTTCCTATCTTTTTCTGTGCCAAACCATGTCTATGATCTCCTTCTATTTTCCATAAGAATTGTTTTCTATTTGAGTCAAATATTTTCATACTCAGCTCATCAATAAAATATAATACCCAACATGATACCTTTCTAAGCTGTTTCACACAACAGTACCGGCTGAGGGTGAGGCAGGACCCTTCCGGTAGTAGCATTTTTCAAAGACAAATATGTGATACAAATCATATTTCGATAAATATACGTATATGGGATGTCCGTTCGTTGATGCGGACATGTGTGCTGTATTATTTATAACAATTTGAATGATATACAAATTTGTATTGAAAACAGCTCGGGTAACCCGATACGCTGCTTGTTGCAATCTCTCGCCGCCCATTTCTTTTGTGCAACACACACATTTTTTCTGGCCTTTGTGTTTGCGTGGGTTTTGCGACCTTTCGCTTCGAGCTTCACTCACCATGTTATCGTTGTAAATGTCCAAACGCACACCCACCCATATGTATACATAGCCAGAGTCAAAGGATACAAGGACATCACGGAGACTGGACAAAACAAACAGACGACGCCTTTTCCATGTGTGTGGGTGGTTTCAGGGGCAATCCATACGGTCCAGTGCAACCCAAAGCTCGATATAAACGCATTTCCTGACACCCACTGCCTTCTCCTCTCGCCCTGCCTCGTGCCATGTCGCTTCCGTTTCAGTTTTCCCTGCCCGTTGCATTATCCTGCCATTGGACTGGACTACAATTTCTTTCGCTTTTCGCAAAAACCAATAAGTCAAATGACCAAAAAGGCTTAACAGACCATGAAAAAAGTAAAGAAAGGTAAGCAAAAAAGGAAAGGGGAAAGTGCGACAACAATGAGCGGAAAATCAAGAAAATATTACACAAAAGTCGCCTGGAAACCATTGAAAGCAATAAAGGCGAAAATATATAGAAAGAGCATATTAAAAACGATAAATTTTAAATCATATTTTTTCAACTTCATAGCTTGGAAACGGCTTTAAAATATTAATGCTTATTCAGAGGAATTACCCTTCAAGTTGGTTGAAAGTTCCTTCAAGGATGTGCACTATAATATTAAGCAGCTT